TACACCCAGACAATCGATTGTGTACTTAACGTTTGACAAGTTCACTCAAGTCATCAATTTCATCATCTGTTTATATTTCATAATGGCACAAGAATAGTTATTACATATAATGTTTACCTCAAGAGACGAGTATGCTATAACAAATAATGGTACACACAAAATCTTGATTACTAGAACAGGTATTGTTAACAGAATCATTATCGTACAATCAACGTGTTAAATTGTCAGATCTATTTCCAGAGTAAATAAAACTCGCTGGTATCCGTTCGTTAATGAGTATACGTGTATGGATATGTCGATAAATGGAAGCGGTTGAGATTGTTTGCATATATAGGCTAAATGCGTTAATTTTCCAACATGCGTCAACACACAGTTGAATCATGACTTTGAAATCTCGACTGACTCCTATTTTCCATTAAAAGTCACATATGCCTTTGGTTGAAATGTCTATTAAAATGCTTTATTACCTTCATTCATGTCTTAAAGACCATTTCTAAAGAGAATGCCCAGCGACCAAGTTTTCCATATGTCATAAAATTGGAACTATTACTTCTAGTTTTTATATATTTTTCTATCTTTATTTCAAAATTGCATAAGAATCTTTTCAAAAATAGAAATGTTTTTGCCCAAATTACATCGAATTCGAGTAACTTAATTAAGATTGTTAACATGTCGTTATTTCTTCTTTGCTGTCCTTTTATAAAGTTGGTTCAGCGTTTTAAAGATACATGTACAGGCATATCTAGTATGCCTAACGCCAGTTGATAAAACACATTTTTGTGGTGTTTAATGCTCAGATGATAATGGCTTCAACAAAAACATTAGAAATTAAATGGAATAATCTCGTTCATTTTTTAGTAATATTAAATACTATTGTCTTCGATACATTATATATACAAATTGTATATAGTTAATGATATGATAATGGTATTACCTGTTTCCAGTGTTACAGCCGGTAAAAACACACCATTGTTATGATATTTTATCCGTATGGACATTGGCTATGTAAAATTGTGACATTTGAAATAACTGATGTATGTTTAAATTTGAGAATATCGTTCGGTACAACGACTTAAAAAGACTAAGTTCCACCAATCCGATCAACCTACATTTTCAGCCTGTATACAATCATCGAACGGTGGATATGTAGTTTCAATTTGTTGATTTTGGTGTTGATGTTAATGTCCTTACAATGCTTGTCTCTTGTTTATTTATCTTTAAGCAACAAAATATTTAAGTGAAAAGTGTTCGTTCTGGGTGTTTCACAATTTTGACGAAGATAGAGTAACGGCAAACATTAGATATAAAACCTTTGATTAACAACAGAAATGCATCTGCATGTCAGGAATCAGTACATGAATACCCAACATATGATAAAACCCAATCTTTGAACATCAACCGAACCACGTATTTTGATGATACGACTCTTTATTTCTGTTCCCACCACTTTGAGTAGATTCAAACATTGAGTTGTCTTTCGATGGTATTCATATGCCTATATGCTTTCGATCTAAACATATGAATACCATCAAAAGACAACTTGAACAATGTTTGAATCGACTCCAAATTTGGGGAGATGAAAATGGATACAAATTTTCACAAGAAAAAAACAGTTTGTATGGATTTTTGTCAAATGCAGGAACAACACGACGATCCAAATCTATCTCTTTTTGATTTACCCATTCCGGCTGTTTAGCAAACCAAATTCTTAGGTGTTATTTTCGACAGAAAATTGTCATTCCTTCCAAATATAAAATATCTGAAAGCCAAATGCTGTATGGCACTGAATATTCTAAAGGTGGTGTCCCACACTTGTTGGGAAGCTGAAAGAAAAGTTTAGCTAAGGCTTTTTAGAGCTCTTATTAGATCAAAATTAGACTACAGTTCCATTGTGTATGGATCTGCTAGACCTTCATATCTCAAATTATTAGACACTGTTCACCACCAGGGTCTGAGGCTCGCTCTTGGAGCTTTTAAGACCACACCTATAGCAAGCCTCTATGCAGAGGCTAACTAATTATCACTATTTAGCCGTCAAAGTAAATCGGCTTTGCAATACGCCATTCAGCTAAAGTCAAATCCTTCTAATCCTGCTCTTTCACTTGTATTTGACCCAAAATATGAAACCTTGTTTCAAAACAAAACCGAAGACCATTCCACCATCCGGTATTTGGATTTCCGCTCTTTTACAAACCTCAAATATTGATATTGACCAAATTCAGTCATTTGGAACGATAGAAATTCTACTTTGGCTCCTGAATTCATCTGAAGTTGACTTTTCACTACCTGAAATGGTTAAATAAGACATAGACAGCTGGACATTTCCTTCCTCTTTCTCAAAATTGCAGTTAGAATACAAAAAAATTTCGGCGGAAGCGGGAGCTATCTACATCGCCCTTGAACATATTCCATGTTATCTATTCAGACTCTTTTTCTGTACTACAAAGTTTTAACAATAGATATATGGCAAATATTTTCATTCGTAGTACATTAATACTACATCATGGAATTGCCTTAAGCTTTCGTATTGTTTTGTTCGGTTCCTGTGCACATGGAAATACCAGGCAACGATAAAGCAGATCGTGCCGCAACGCCAGTTTTATCGCGAGCACCTGCTGTTGTTTTAACTTCATTTTATTGATTTTAAACCATTATCAAACATGTTTTAACAGCTCAGTGGCAGGAGGAATGGAATCAATATACTGATACTAAACTTTATTCCGTAAAAACCAATTGTCCTTTGAAATGTCCACGCATACCTGACACATTCAAATATGTTGAAAGGCGAAGATAAACCTCGGTGTATAGGATGTATTGAGTCATTCACAGCTAGACATTTTTTATCAAACTGCATTGACCTTCTTTCTACGCGGGATTTTTTTTTATCGTAGAGTTACAAGACCAAAGACCGTTTTTGAAACTGTTGAGATTGATAAAATTCTGTTATCTGAAATACGTTGGTCTATATCATACGCTATGACCTACCATTTTAATTTTTTGTGAAAATTATAACCATTTAAGATTTTTTAAAATTTGTCTTTTAACTTTTAGTTTTAGTTTTCCTTTTTGGTTCGCCATTAAGATTTTAATAAAAATAATAACAATAATGGTTTCATTGTCGATAGTGTTTCCTTTGTCCGTCATTCCGTCATAGCAATGTACCTTCATACAGTTTTTAAGAATATATTACCGTAGATTTTGCAGCTAGGTCTTCAATTATTTCGAATGTTTTTCCGCAGATTCTTTGGGAAAGAAATTTGCTTTTTTCAACGAGTCATGAATACACCTAGTTTGTTGATAAGTTGATAACACGATGAAATAGAACGTGTGCCTTTAATGTCATCAATTGTTAAATGGTGGGTTCTATTTTACAAAGGAAGCATCTAAATATAAGTCTATTGTAATTGTAAATAGCACTCCTAACTAAATTTCTATCTTGGAAAATTTGTGAGATTCCCTTTGTCCACCTTGGACAGGTGTACCAACACTTTAATTTGTGTGAGATTTCATTTCTCACCATGGATAGGTGTTCTGCAACTTCGACACAACATTAGATCTCCATCACTGATGCAATCACGACAATGACTGCTGATTTTGATACAATTTTCTCGTTATAATTGCACTAATTGTTAGTGTTGAAGTTAGTAAGATCCGCGAACTTATTGGACATGTCCGTGCACGTGTATGTATATGTATATATATTTTTTGTTAGAACGAGTAGTATCAGTTACTGATATCCATTTATCTAGATAGCAAAAGGATAAACAATAAGGTAAGCTTATAACCTCCGTATCTATTTACATTCATGTTATTGTGTGTACCATTCTGACAGATGTATTGGACAAACGCACGAAATACGTGTACAGAGAAACATCCGTATTATGAATACACTGATTGATGAAGACTTTCAGGTTTAATACAAGTTTTACATATTTCTTTAGAATTAAGCAAAAATCTGTACTTACAAATTAAGATTAACGTTGAAAAAGAAATCGAGGCCATGCGGGACTGCAATGTTTATAAATACAGCTGTTCACAAGATCTGAAAAAATAATCTACATTGTTGAGAACTGCATCTACAAAAATATATTTTTAAAACAAGTTTGGCCGTAACTATTTTTTTCAGTTTAGTGAAAATTTCGGAAAGGAGGGAGCAATCGATTTGTGGGGATGAGATAGTCTTTGTTTCTATATAGATAACAATTTTATTTCATCAATAAACGAATTATAATTTAATGATAAAAATGACAGGATAGAAATAAATATTTTTCAGTACTTAATTTTGCCATGTAAAAAAATTCCTGTAGATAAAACTAAGGTATCCCAGCGCAGTGCTTGTACCAGGTATGAACTAATTCACATATACATTCATTGTATATAATTCATTGATTTGTAGCACACCATCTCCTATTGAACACCTGTGTATACCTACATTCATTCTGTGAAGGAACATAGGCATAACCTGCCCATTTTAGTAACCAAGTCCCTCTTGGTGCGTGTCATTCGTATCGTTTATTACAGAAGAGTCCAAAATCTCTTGAATGTCAATTATATTTTATAGAAAGTGTATAGGAATAATGAATTCTTTATTCGATTTTTTACATAGAGTCTAAATATATGTATTTACTTCAACTTATCTATCTATATCACATATCTATTGATACAAAGTTTTCTTTATTTAATTCTTTCAGACATGCCGATAAGTGGATATTGCATACAAGTTTACTAAACCAAGACTTGCCAAGACATACCAGGTAGGGCCGGGGGTTCATTTTGGTATTAAACGTTCCAAAGTGAAGCGATGGTTACCGTGCTGGCCTTGAACAGCGGTGGGAATAAAGGACTGTCAGATAATCGTAACGACACGAGGAAGTCGTTTATCATCCGAGTCTGTCTGAAGCTTAGATACAAATATAAACATAGTCGTTGAGACGCCGCACCAACACGTATTACCGAACTGGAGATATCTTTTTAACGTCTGGACATAGAAATCCGCCATAATGGTGCGTTGCCGAATATCCAAGATGAAACATAGTGTCTTAGCCTGCTGTGTGATGTGCTTATTGCTAATTTCCATACATGATTTTTATGAGCTGAATGTAAGACCTGTGCGATATGATGATATTTCTTCTTTTCCAAAATATGATTATGGATTTTTCTTTCCGTTAGAAATCGATATCCGAAAAATGGTAGAAGAGAAAATTCGAAACAACACGGAACCGGACTTTGCTCCGATAAACAGACATCCATTCAGATACATTCATCGGCCAGCAAGTTGCTCCTTCAATTCCACGTCCCATACACGTTTAAAATCTGAGGACTCTCCAAACTTATTAGTTCTAGTCAAGTCTGCTGTCAAGAATGATCGCCTTCGAATGACCATACGAATGACTTGGGGCAAAATTAAAAGACCAAATGTTAAAGTTGTGTTTTTGCTTGCACACTCAGCTGCTTCGTCGCAGTTCATTTCAATGGAGTCGTACACTTACCGTGATATCGTACAGGAGGATTTTATCGATAGTTATAACAACAACACATACAAAACTATTATGGGATATAACTGGGCTGTGAAATACTGCGCCGAAGCGGACTTCTTTTTGTTTGTAGATGATGATCATTTTGTAAATATACCAAAAGTACTTCTCTACGCCAAGTCAATTCCAGTAAACGAACGTAAAATGTTGCTTCGCGGAAGAAAAGTTATCAGCGCAAAACCAAGTAGAGAAGATTCAAAATGGGTTATATCTAAATCGGATTTTCCATTCCATTTGTTTCCGCCGTACCCAGCAGGCGGAGCCTACCTGACGTCCTATAATTGTGCTCTTCGTTTCGTGCATGCGTTTCCGTATGTTGAGTTCTTTTGGATAGATGACGTGTATTTAGGTATAGTTGCATACAAACTCAACGTCACAATACATAACGTGAAACAGTTTTTCACACACGAAGAAAATCCATCTTTAGATGAAAAAGGCTTCTTCGCCCATTTTAATAATCACGATGTTGAGGACATGGTCAAGGCGTGGCAACGTGCGAAAGTCAAGTATGTGTGACGTCAATGACATAGACCGGTAATAATTATTACACGACAAATATACTAATAACGTCATTTAATAGCAATGTTCCAGTTGTGTACACAATATCATGCATACTATTAACAGTATTATAAACATCATAGAAACGTGATTGACTACACAGGAACACACAAAACGATGACGTCATTTAAAGACTTGTAATTGTGTACACAATGACACATGCCTACATCAATGACGTCATTAAGTCTGACACGCATGTCTTTCCGTCATTCAAGTCATGAAATGATAACGTGCTAGCTTTTAAATTTGTTTCGTTTTCTTCATGGACATCATAATGTTTTATTATTATTGTCATACTTGAAATATCTTGAATTATTTTTATACGCATATTTAAGTCTGTCATGACTGATTGACGGGTCGTTTCAAGAGTTGCCACTTTGTGAGGAATATCTCATTTTTATAATATTCCCCTAATGTATTTAAATTCTGGTAAATTACAGCTACTGACTGACCAATATAATTATATGACGACAGGTGCTTTTGACTGCCATGACAGGAAGCATTCACTTACCACTATAATTAAATGACAGGAAACACTGACTGACCACTATAATTACATGACAGGAAACACTGACTGACCACTATAATTACATGACAGGAAACACTGACTGACCACTATAATTACATGACAGGAAACAAAGACTGACCACTATAATTACATGACAGGAAACACTGACTGACCACTATTATTACATGACAGGAAACACTGACTGAACACTATAATTAAATGACAGGAAACACTGACTGACCACTATAATTACATGAAAGGAAACACTGACTGACCACTATAATTACATGACAGGATACACTGACTGACCACTATAATTACATGACAGGATACACTGACTGACCACTATAATTACATGACAGGAAACACAGACTGACCACTATAATTACATGACAGGAAACACTGACTGACCACTATTATTACATGACAGGAAACACTGACTGACCACTATAATTACATGACAGGATACACTGACTGACCACTATAAATGACGACTATAATATTGGTATAACTTGTATACATATCTTATGTTATCAATGATATATCGCTGAATGTCCAAAATTTTGATCTTTAGCTTAAAAACAATAAAGACTGGCCTATCTTGACTGTAGATTCTCCTACATTTGTGACGATTCATTTTCATAGCGTCATATGGATAATGACATCACATTTACATTTTTTATTGCGATGGACTCTAGATAATTTTACAAAATTATGACACAACGAAATGAAGAACTTAATGATATATATTTTTAGAACTCATCCAATTTCCGTTTACGGTTTTTCATTGGGATCGAATTAAATGGTATTTCTGTATAAGGAATTATATATTTAATGACATTTCATGTATTTTACTGACAAATGCCATGATACAACCGTACTTCCGAATCTGAATGTGTAATAAATCAATGGTAGAAAAATAGGTATTGGAAACAAAATTGCACAGGTATATAGTGTTGCATTTGGATATAACGATAGATGATAGTTGTGAGAATAATAATGCATACTTAATGTGAGGAATTAGCAAAGTACGCATCCTACATTGTAGATATAACCTTTTATATACATACACAAATACACAATAACATACACTTGAATAATTTTATTAAAAGATTTTTTCTTATCTGTGCTTTTACTTAACTTCGCCCCCCCCCCCCTCTCTCTCTCTCTCTCTCTCTCTCTCTCTCTCTCTCTCTCTCTCTCTCTCTCTCTCTCTCCTGTGATACAAAAACCTACCTTAATAGTTGTGGTGTATGTTTTACCTGTAGTTTTTTTTTTATTATTTATTGGTAAAAGTGATATAATTTTACATTTACTAGGTCGTCGTTTTGGACATTTTTCATAATAATATTTTAATTTTTGTTAGTTTAGATATGTATAGTCATTTTAACAAAGGAAAGAGACATCTTTACCTTATACTAAAGTTTTTTAGATTGTATTATCTGTCAACATTTAATTAAGCAGATTCTAAATGAGCTAATGTCATTTCTCTGTTCCTTACAAATTATTTTTAAACATTTTAAGAACACTTTGTTGTCATATCGATTTATATACCATTTGCAGTGTACTTACAATGTGTGCGTTGTTTTTTTCAAGCGTGAGAGAAAAATGATGTATTGACTGTGATTAAGTATTAAAGTAAACGGTGTTCTTGTTTTCAAGATTTTTATCTGTAATTTTGATCTTTTTTATCTGAAGCTAGTAAAGTATTGTATATAAAAGTCATTGTTCCATTCAATGGTCGTGTGGTATCGATGTACAAGTATTGTTTGGGAAATGTGATTAAAAGTTGTATGGAATAGCGTGACTGTTAAACTGTATGACTTTATTTTCGCTCTTGTACCGCTGATTGCAGTCAGTTTAAAGTTATGTGCAATGACCATAATGGGCATGGTATTGGCGTCTAACAAAACCTTCTTATTTTTTAAGCTCGTTATTTCACACTTTCACCCAAGATCATGACCTATTTTCTGAAGAGGAGTATTAAAATAACGTCACATATTGAGCGATCACACAAGAATAAATCAGCGTTGGTATATTTGTGACATTTGCAGGACACTTAGTTTTACACGTACATTTGGTTCTCTTCTGAACCATTATAGTATCATTACATGTTTAAACGATGTAAACAGCAGCACCGTCGTTAGGGAATACCAAACAGATTGTTGGTTCAGAACAAACACGATTATAAACCTCCATATAAGTGTAAAGAGATCAATTAAATGCCAATTAAGAACAGGCAGGACTATACACTGTTAATTAAGAACAGGCAGGACTACACACTGTTGATTAAGAACAGACAGGACTACACAATGTTTATTAAGAACAGACAGGACTACACATTGTTAATTAAGAACAGACAGGATTACACACTGTTAAATAAGAACAGTCAGGGATATTTACTAGCAGTTAAAAGACACTATGAGCATAAGTATCAACGACAAAAAAAACTGTGTAAACTGCCTCGACAGGAAACACCCGGTATAAACCCTTCGTACACAAATTGCCATAGGCTTATCTAAACCATTACGTATGACGCCAACCATCTGAAAAAAGCCTTTAAATATCTTTTAAACCACAGTACATGACTAGAAAGCCTGCACATACTACTGACTGATTGCAAAGCCTTCATACATCATCCACATATGGCAGCAATGTGCACATATTTTATAGAACATCTTACCACATTATCGCTTCTTTTATCAGATAATACTTACGATTCTCAGGGCAGGGCATGTGACTCTTTTAGAAATATATAATAAATGTATCCAAATGTGTTTATGTGAACTTATTACAGTAAGAAATATGGAGTGTTTTAGTATCGATTGTATGTTAATGTGATACAAATGACATGATTACTACACCTCATTGATTTAAGTGTCAGTCATATGTATGTAACTGGTGTATGTGTTTTAAAATAATTATAAAATATATTCTATAATGTCTGCCTTATTGGCATGATAAAAAGCTGAGCATTTTTAGAATTATCAGAAGCCTAATTCGTCTTTTGTTTGAGAATTCAACTTTATCTTTATTTCTTTCAAATATTTGTATATTACAAGTAAATTAAATCACTATACCATTTGTGATATGACTATGTGTCTGTGCTGCATTTTTTGGAATTGCCAATAAGGATTTTCCGAGTAGTTCCAAACCCTATGACCATATCATGTTTGAGTCAGTAGGATTTCTGGAATTACTATGACGATTATCAGTGTAGTTCCAAACTCAGTGTTGATGATATCCATGTCGGATAGAAAGCCCCAATTATGGACATTTCTAATAAAACATTATTTGTATTGAACAAATCTCCTTTAAATCTACTTAAATTTCTACTTTGATTAATATTCGACAAATTATCTGTTATAACTGAAAGTTTCAAGGAAATCCTATTATTTAGCCTTGTTTAATTGATAACATTTGGAAACACATATGATGACAGATATAAAGTATAGCAGACCACAGAGTGTAATTCGGGCTCGATTTATCAAACCAAGCCAAAAAAAAGAAGAAAAAAAAAGATTGTTGGAGGCAGCGATAAATGTGTACAAACTTAATCTACTTCTTTTATACTCAGTCTAGTTTCCTCTGCCTGATACTTTACCCGGTTTTTCAGCAGTTATCCCTCAGACACTAAAACAACCATTTAGATAAGACATTATCACGAAAAGGGTTGCAGTGATTTCGAATTTCTTTTCCTATAGTGTTATCTTAAGGTTATTTTAACAATTAGATAGAATTATCAGTGTGCAATATTGTATCATTGTCTTGATTTAGATACTTGTGTGTATATATATATATATATAATTTATATATGCGTTCGGGCACGTTGATTTGCTACAGTCGTGTTACTTATAAATTGTGTTTTGCTTTTACTTTACGCTTATAATGGCTTTTCGTTATGAACATTAAATACCTTGCCTTTCAAGGATGATACGACTGTGGTTAATTCTTTTTTTCTGCAATATTTCAGTAAAGAATGTAAAGGTATTCGTCGACAATTACTGAAATACAAAAGTTTGATGCAACAGCAAGAAACACGACGCCGCTTAGATCAGCGGATCACAATAACCTAACTTAAGAGAAAGTTTCAATTAAATAAAAGAGTTTCAGCAATATCTCCATGCAGGCGATTCCTACCTGATAACACGGAAATAATGACACGGACCCACTCAAAGAAGAAAAAACAAGTCCTATTGGCTCATAAATTAGATTTTAATAGCTAATTTTGAATTTCATTAAATGCAATCATTATAATGAGTTTGAAAATATCTTTATTTTCTTAATCAGTGTAGAAATACGCAATAGATAGACAGTGTGGAATTATGAATATACAAATTTTAAGCATAACAAACATATAAAATGAGTGACTTTGTCGTGAATCATAGAACTTCCAGAATTTGACCCAAAGAAGTTTACAAAAGTGTCTGAACATTTCTAATAATTAAATAGTAATCCCAAGAGGTAGTTATGTTGCATAACATTATATTTTTACTGGTATCACATCATAGTACGCCTGCACAACAAGACTTTACGAGTTATCTCCCTTCATCGTCACGTATCTTATTGACCTTCTAATCTTTCAATGGCGATCTCCTTCAACCGTTGAATATGAACCTGAATATATAACAAAAAACTCATAACTTACATTATACAAATTATATCAGAAAATTAAGTTGACATTAAAACAAACTACTATATTTCCATAAAAGAAACTTCGACATGTGTACGTCCTTTCCGCACATATAGCTCCTCATTGAACAGTAGAAGGTTTTATGTAAGTGCATGAAAAGACTGGCATTGTATGCAAATAATACAGATCGGAATAAATACCACTTTCATTACTTTATTCTTTCGCTTTATCGAATTTCAAAAGGAAAATACGCAACAACAATATAATGCATTTGTACGTAAATGGCAACAAAATTTGATTCACCTTTCCTCTAGCACCAGCACGAGGCATGGCGTCAAGGATGAAATATTTCGTTGGACATTCGAGGAAAAGAAGCTGTCGTAAAAAAATATTGCGCAATTAATGAATAAATTTCTCCGAGGCAAAATAATATTCAACGGTTTGTAATTATTATATATTTACAATCATACATATTCTCACACAATACTGTATATATAGAGAAATATTACAGAATTGAAAATATGTCTGATTAGTTAAGTATAAGCGCTTACAAATCAAACCATCAGACACTTTACAATTATATGTACTGGATAATGCAAATACCTTATCGGAGTCATCATATATTAATTTCATAAGAGAATAATGAAGCATTACCTCATTCCGATTCATATAGATCTAACGATGTTGAAATTTTTTTTTATTAAATCTACTAATGAGACACGAGCACCATCATTGGTAGTCAATGGGATTCAATGATAATTTTTCAGTGCCTTTTAAAACTTTGTAACAAGTGTATCAAAGTGCGTCCATAAATGACCCGCTGCAACCAATATCGAATTGCAGTTCAACGTTTTCATCGTTTTCATCCTCATAACACAATAATTTCTGACTCCATAACTGTAGCAAAAAGTTGATAGGAACCAACTTACATAAAATGACAGAAGAATCTTAGAGCCGACCGTCGTTTTATTTGTACTTGTATATTTGAAATAAGAAGTAAGACTGCCTTACTTTCCTCCGAACATGCATTTGGTCTTAATTATTTGCAATTTTTAAAAATGTCAAATAGAAAATAAACCCCCGATAGCCTTTTTCATTTTTTTTATTCAGCTCCAAAATAAAAAGGAATACAACTTAGGGGGAAGAGGAATCCATATATGGAAATTGAATAAGATTCATCCATTAGCTCGCAAACATTCATTGTCAAAATATATGATGGCCGTTTGTTCATAAAAGAATAAAAAGAATAGCGACGGACGGCGTACGACTGACCACGAATCATGCACATAGGGCGATCGGAATAGCCGACCATACATTGTGGTGGAATATAAACTTGTACCTTTACGTTACACAACAACACACTAATTCTGTTCATTATCTTCACCAAAAACAAGGGGAATTAGCGGATACGAAATAATAATGAAACCACCGGAGCATTATTATATAAGTCCTTGCCAGTCTAAGATATACAGAACAAACTAATACATAAGGAATCGAAAGCAGTAATTACAGTGTATACAAAGATAATAAACTGGTGTGTTCAGTAAGGGTTAGCGTTTGTTGCTTCTCCAGCGCTAACATTGTAGATATCATTAGGTGGCCGATTTTTAAAATGAGAACCTAGGCAAATAGTAAGAGAATGGTACAGTATAGCAAAAGTCTTTGAATATCAGCTGAACATTATCATTCTGATACAGACAATGGTGGAAGTAAGTAGGTCACTTCGTAGACATGAAACGCCCAAACAGATGTCGTTTTATCACGAACCTAACCAGAAAACTGATACTTTTTTTACTCACCTTTAGGTTTCTTTTCAGAAATATTTACTAGTCACTTACTGCTTAATACCCAGTTGTGCCCATTCGAAAAAGGATGATATTTCTTTACGATACACATGTATACAAGAAATTAACCGACTGACAATAACTAGCTACGTACCTCTTTATTGAAGTATTCCTCCAGCTGTTTTTCTGTTAGATCGGCCTCAGGATGCAGCCTAAATATGGATTATCATTAGCAAGTTAAAATCTTAAACGTCTTTATAGGATAATATTCTACGTTGTAGTGGTATTTATTCAGGAGTTGCGAAGGTTTCCAAAGTATCAACTGCCTGCTAAATGACATGAGACACATAAGAAATGTACCAGAGTCGTTGCGGCTATACCCGATATTGGAAGATTTGGAAGGAAATAGTATGAGGAGAGGGTAAGCATGTTATTGACCAAAACAATACACCAGATGGTAACAATGTACTGTAGTCAATTCGGCAACGCTTTGTTTAAAACTTGAAGGGGTTCTTTACCAACCGTCTAAAATTGTTGACTCTCAGACCTTACTTATTGTAGTTATCAAACATGACATTATTTAAAATATTACTTTACTAATTTATTATATACATTTACCTACCAAAACAACATTAAGAAATCACTTACTGAACAAAGAGACAAATTTCGTGGCCAATATGGTTGTCTTGTATCCCGACCACCTACAACAGAGGAAAAACAAACTCTTCTTATCAACGGTTTTCTCTTTCAAATAGAGTAAACCATTTATTGAAGACAGGTATACAGCAATATTTCTGTTTCTCATTAAACTTATGAAAAAAAATGTTAAAGTCACCAACACATCGAGCATATGAAAGTTTGGGCCGTTGCACTCAGTTACTGTCATACCTTACACGTGTAAAAAAAATTGTCATTTTTCTTATTTTGTAAATCGTACACCATTCCTGATCGAGATGTCATATTAATAGAATTAGAAAGGTAAATAAAATCATAATTTATAACCAAAATCGATAAAATGAGCGCTAAATATGAACAAAAGAAAGATTAACATAACATGGCATACTAATTAAAAACATTACATGTAACTTAAAACACAAAAGGAAAAACTTAAAACACAAAAGGAAAAAATGAGTTTTCCCTTATAAGATATTAAGTTTAATCAACCTGCATCTCTATAAACCCTAATACATTGTAATATGATCATGAAAGAGTTTGAAACTCAAGTATTATATTCGGTATTCCTGCGGGCCTCTAACTATGATAAATACTTAAGGATTAAGATTTTACATTGTTTAATTTACAAGATAAAAAACAAAATGGAGGACAAAGTAAATTTGCGATTACGAACAATTAAAAGATTGCTCCTATGGATTTATGATCACATGAAACTAAACGAAATAGACGGTAAAATTAATACATACAATAGTAATCATAATAATTAATACAATAATTAATACAATAACACAACACAGAGTGTCAAATACAAGCAATTTTCGATCTACATTCTGAATTATTTTGACGTCATGTTCATCGATACGGGACAACACTCACTAAAGCCATCGACTGATTATTAAACCTCACTAATTTTCTCCGTGACAACAAAATGATACAGTTATTTAATTTGGTTCCCATAAAAGACATACATTATTAATTACAATATCTTCGTAATTTTATTATTAGAAGGTAATGGAATAAATAAGTCTAAATTGATTTGATATTTTGATATTTAGGTAAAATACTATTACTTAGGTAAAAAAACAAGACATTATTGAAGTGATGAGCGCAAGGGCTGGATATAGAGAGCTAAACATACATGTATTTATATAGGATGAAATGAGTCCTTTAAGTTATTGAAAAAAGAATAAAAAAAATAATGCCAGACTTTAGTTATCGGTTCAAAACACTGAAAGTTGTAAATCTTTTCGTATCACAGGACCAGGAAATTGTCGGGACATTGCAATGAATATGTGTATGGGGTCATCATTTTAATTTCATATTTGAAGTGTATACCGTTATGTTGAAGTTGGTAACGGTTTTTTCCCTGTCAGAATTTGACATAATAAGAAATCAATCTTAAAAATTATTTCAAAAGACCAATAGAATAATTAGTACTTTTGCGTATACATTATACTTCTCCGTGAGATAAACACATTAGATTGTCTCACCTTGGCCTCTTTAACCGCTTCATGTTTATTGGCCGTATCCAGTATGAGGGAGGGATACACCTTGTCTCCCGTATGTTTAAACACCACGCATTCCTCTTTCCTACCTAGCAGCTGTATGTGACCTGTGACATCCATAATGCCGACGTCTCTAAAAAAATGACACAACATATAGCGCCATGAAACGTCAATTGGCAAAATCCGTTTTTTGTTTAACATGGGAGGCAGTTCCGCGTTTATCATCGCCTTTGTAAAATCATCTGAGGTTTAAGCAATGTAAATACTTTATTAACTGGATATCAAGAAAAGTTAAACGCTTCAAATTCGTTCTAAACTGTCCCTCATTTACCCATAGCTGAATAATCATATAATTCCATGAAAACATCGATGACGTGGAAGTCCTGTCAACTGCTTAGTGCCAATGTTGATAAATTTAGGTGAGTGTGTTAGACTTAAAGGACTATCTAGCAGTATTATTTTTGTTGGTGGATTTCGTTTATTTTACCTTTATTCATCAAGACAGTCTGTGAAAGCCAAAACTTATCTGTAACTACGCTTGATCAATCGATAAATATATTTTGTGAAGAGGTTTGGTAATTTCTTATTTGGCAACGTCCTGTTAACCAATTTGGTGGCTAGATGTGCTCTTATTTTGACATTATTTCGTTTGGAAGCAGAATGAATTACTATCATTGAATTTACGTGGCGATGTGTATATGGATGATCCTAATGAATATCCTGATCAAAAACCAATATTTACCCTAAATGCAGCCATCCAGTCTCCCCTTTTGCTTTTGATGTTGTTTCTGGGTCATTTAAGTACTTGGTGAAACAGAACCAGCCTCGAGTACATATTTCTCCAGCTTTACCTATCGGTAATACCTCGTTGTTGTCACCTACGATCTTCACCTAATTATACGAGAAGAATGTTAAAAGAAACCTATGATATAATTTCAATGTTTCTGTTATCATAACACACATTAAGTTTGAATGCATTAGAACAAAATAGCAATAATCACTTTTTTAATTTGTGTCTCAAATATGCAAATAATTGTAAATATGTACATTAACCTCATTCTACTCTTATTCTTATTATACTTCTATATTGCTATTACCTGTTTTGATTTTTTGGTTCCTTTTTTCGTAGTTAGACTACCAAATCAAAAGGATGCATCGTTCATAGAAGCCTTAAATATGATTTTAGTTTTATTTTTAAGGCATTGGTTTGTCGCGGATTAAATTGTTATTTTGTATTATTGATCAGTAAAATCAATGATTGTATTGATTTATTGATCATTTGGAAAATTGGCATAAGAAACGTAATAATATCCTCAGATCAATATGATAAAATAATTCTATTTCTTTTATAAAATATCTAATATAATGTTTCTCACCTCTGTGTGAGGAAATGGATAGCCAACGCTTTCTGACTTCTGAGTTTCTGACGATAGTGTCGCTGATATCATGGAAACCATGCCTTCAGAGGACCCATACACATTCTGTAATATGGTTGATGATCACAGATATATGTTAAAGTTACCTTTGAAATCTGTAACGTCTTAGTTATTTTGCTACATTTTGATATATCTAAAGCCATATATCATATCGTAACTGTGAAGTCTCATAACATAAGAATCAAGGACGTCATTGGGTACAGAAACAAGTTCGGACATCTAATTATTGGCTAAGAGGCAATAGGAACTGGAACTGATTTCATGTAGAAACTTGAGGCTACACGTAAGAGTGCGCTTCCTACGCTGAAAATGCTTAGCAAATCCGCATTGCAATATCAAAAGAATTATTATTCTTTGGGCGTATCGTCTATTGAAGTACTGCTGTATCCTGAACGCGCAGGAGTTTTTGAAAAATAAATTTGAAGACGTTTGATAATACACTCACACTTGTGTCCGGAAAATGTTGTTTCAGTCGTTGTTTTAATTCTGATGTTATCATCTGAGCAGTGACGACGACTACAACAGCGAAAACATAGCTATATAAACATATCGTCATATTTCAAAAGCGAAATGTACACGAAGAAAATAAGTGATATATCCCTTGATAACAAATAAAGATGCAGACGTTTTAAAAATCTCACAAACTGTGTAAATAATATTCTGTGTTTATGCAAAACCATCAATGACATGGTCGCACTTTCCATGCCTTTTTAAAAAATCTTCCTTACAATGTGCCAACATTGTTGGAATATGTAACCGATATATCAAGGGGTTACTGATGCCAGGAAGAACCCTGTATTATCTACTTAATGTTAAACTGCTATAACAAACTGATCAGGAGAGAATGATGTAATTACAAACAATCTGTGGTGGACACATTTGATCAAACAAAATGAAAGGGGTTATAACCACAGCACGATCCACTATTAGTCTGTAACGTCAACGAAATAATTGGTTGTTACATTAATGTTTATTAAATGCCATACCTCCTCGTAATGATGATATATCATAGTTCTGTAAACTCGGGCTATCCAACATCTTCAAAAGTTCAAACGGATATCCAGTATACCATGTCATCCTATGATAAACAGAATCTTTGATTAGACCAATATATTGTGTTTTGCTATTTATTACGGAGAGCTCTTTATCTTGATAATATATATACATGATTGAATATTTCACTCACCTATAGGTTTGAATACATTCCAGCAGACATGTAATATCGTCCTGATAGAATTCTACTTTAGAAGACAAGATGATCATAATAATCTCCCGCCAGTTATATACCGCTTGTGTCACGCCCATGAAAAACTGGATATCATCTGTTGTTGGATTTCGTCCTCCTACTACGTCTTTCTGTAAATTTTCGTTTCAAATATTTGAAATTGGCAAACCGCACTTGTATGTATGAAAAGTACACTCTGTTTTTCTTCTTGTGTGTATATGTGTGTAGGTTGCGAATCAATCACATAAAATGATTAAACTTTAACCCATAGTTTAATAAGTCTTTGAACTCTTTTCTTTGATGATGCTCTACTAATCTGACGTGACGTTGAAAGATGGCGTCAATCTTTTTGTGTTATGGGGTAATATTATAAAACTAGTGTTCAACGCAAAGGTTTTTACCCAGAGGAATAAAGAATTTTGGTCTAATCTAATTTCAATTTTCAATCAGCGCACGCTTGTTACAATTTTAGTATATAGGGTTTAAGTAACATCTGATCACACTGGATTAGGTTCAGTAGCCTAAAAATTGCTACATGTGTTAGCTGTGTGTCAACATTGTATTTGAAGCTTAGGAAATTCCCATGTTTTAGTGCATTTTACTTCAGGTAGCAACTTTGACGACCTGTTGAAAACAACACATGCCATACAAAGAGGTATATCTAAGATGCTTTTTTCTGATAGTTGGTATTTTGATATAACTCATTGGATTACCCATCTAAATTCATCGAAAGGAAAATTCTTTTTTTTTTTTTTCATTTTAAAGTTGGGCACATTTTGTTCGAATCAGGCAGTAATAGGACATACCTCAAACATATATGTGTGTGTAAAGTGTCAATTATTCACTTCTATGCTTCCACTAGGATTCTAACTCGGGACCTTTGTCATACTAGTCTGACTTTCTAATGATCGAGTTAAAGAGAGAATCTCTGCAAATGGTCTATATTGTGCGGTCAGTATTAACCTGAGGTACGTGCTAATCTTCGGGATATGTAACCCTCACATGTAAAGACTTCAGGTGTATATGAATAAACATCGGACATCATATAAGAACGGACTACTTCATCATGATAAAACAACTACTTACCTTTTGGTAAGGATTTCTTCTGGTGTTCGCAAACTTCGCACAGTTGACAGCATAACAGTGAGACTGGCAAACCAGTTTAGCTTCGCCACTTGATCCCTGTAACAGAAATGCAGCAGACAATACTGTTTGTGTTATATACATGGAGACATTATCCTTTTAAGAATGTGAATACTGTCCAGATAAATCTTACTATAATATTTGTGGGTTTTTGTATGCTGATATACATATCACAACATCATGTATTAGTTATTACACAGTAATGACACTTAATTCATTGTTGTGTCTATCTGAGTATGGAACGCCTTCGTTTATTCTGCATTATTATTTTCCTTTCAAGGAATGATGAACGGCGGTATGAACGTATGGTTGAGAACTATACGGAAGTGTACTTTGTGTAAAAATCAAGGGAATAATATGAGTGGGAAAATTAATAAACTGGTCGAATTTTCGGTTGATATCATCATCGTTGTTGGAAAAACTCATGGGACCAATTGTACTCTTCTTGTTGATTTGTTTTGTTTTATCAAAGTGCTTATCAAGACTTCAAAGTCCTTTAGTGTCGCTTTCAGATACATTGATGATATCTTGTCTGTACAGGACAAGAAAAGTTATGACAATATCCATCCTATACACATAAATTGGAAATCAAGGACACGACAAACTCTTCCTTATCAGCCTCTTACCTCGATCTTACAACTAAATTCTCAGGAAAACTTTTACCAAGCTGTATAATAAGCCTGATGATTTCCTGCTGTTAATGTTTCTTATCAAAATAACACGACCCTACATTCTCAGCCTATGGTGTTTACGTGTCACAATCGATTCGATATCTAAGTGTTTCTACTCTGAATCTTATAATTCTCGCACAAATTTCACTGGGAAGTATCCCTTTTCTTATTTGATATGAAGTTGTTTGGTGTTCTTTAGTTTACTTATTGTTGTTGCTGTTGACATTGCTTACTTGGATCGTACATTCCAGGCGTCGTTATTGAAGCAGGAAACACTTACTCTTCAAGAGCACCTGATCATATTTACATTGAATCGTTCTTATATTCATGTTTTTCATATGTTTGAATTGTAATTTAGTTGATATTTTCATGTTGTTTTATCAGACGTTTCTGCTTGCGAACAAGTATTTGATTATGTCACTATATACCAGTAATTATTACTGATTTTGCAGTTATTCATACGTTGACAGTCGAACATTTATTCCTCTATATTGTGAAATACCAATTGATGAAGTCGCTTGCAATACCATGCAATACATACGTCATGTGGTACTATTAACGTCACCACATGAATGTGCAGCGATGTTTAATACTCACTGATGTCGCCACTATGTAGGCAATATCATCCGTACTAACTCGGGAGGATATGTCGTTTAATGTGACATCCGACACGGTTTCACCCTGCTTCAGGAATTCTGAATATTGACTGAAACTAGATGCATGTCAGTGACTGAGATGACACCATTACATTAGATCCTTTACATTCTAGGATAAATGGTAAACTGAAAAAAAACCCACGTGAATGGGCCAGGCTGCTTCAAAATCAACCACTGTATAGATATTACGATGAAAAGAATTACATTATAATTTTCAACACACTGTTTACTCTTTCTATAGCGCGCATTCATTGATATCTCCATCATATCTATTAAGAGATTATTATCATTGCTTAAATCCGTATGGTATCACCTTGCCTCCATAATTATATGAATAGAGACATTGGAGAGGTAAAGGTAATCATTTACCTGTGTTTGCTTGTCCCAGTGTAGATGATATCTTTAAGTGTCTGAGGCCTTAAGATAAAAAGGAAACCACACAAGCAGATATTACATCATTATTATATGATAATATACCGTATTTAACACACGAAACACTATATACTGACTTTCGTGTGCATTTTAAATGTTCGCAAATATTTCATATAACAAGAAAAATAAATGACGAGCCGCGATGATTTGTAGTAAATTTTCGAATCTTGGTATTAATTTACATCAGTATGATTTAAGTATAGATAGCTTGTATATGGTTATAGTCAATTTAAATGCTGTATTTGTATGTATGTAGTATTTATCGAACATTTTGTATACAGGTTGATCACAGGATTGTCTTATTTAGTCAATATGAGAAGAATGCCATATTATTGGTTACTGCACATGTAATATTACTTATTTTGACGTCACTTCAGATAACTAAATTGTGTCATAACTGATACGTTACAATAGGACTATTGATATCGAGCTATCATAACTTTTTTGTACCATATTTGCTTGAAAAGTCGATCATGGGATAAAAAGAGTCTTAAGCTTGTTACCATATATATGCGATTTAATCATTCTAACCTTTTTAAATCTTAGCTCTTTTTTAATGAAGAATGCTTGGACAAGTTCCATCGTTTGATATTTTCAATGAAAGCTTATATAGGATTCAACATGGTGTTGTGTATATGCTTGATATACACGTGGGGAGTTATACATATGGTTGTAGACATGTAGGGCGTGTAGAGTGTTATGTAAATGACTGTAAACACGTAGGGAGTTTTGTAAATGGCTGTAGACAAGTAGGGAGTTATATAAATGGTTGTAGACATATAGGGCGTGCAGGGCGTTACGTAAATGGCTGTAGACACCTAGGGAGTTTTGTAAATGGTTGTAGACTAGTAGGACGCGTAGAGCGTTATGTTTAGGATTGCAGACAACTAGGGACGTATGTTATTGTTGTGGACAAGTAGGTATTTATGTTATTGTTGTAGAGAAGTAGGTATTTATGTTATTGTCGTAGAGAAGTAGGTAGTTATGTATATTGTTGTTGATATAAGGGGAGTTATGTACATGGTTGTGATATATGTTGGGCGTTATGTATATGGTTGTAGAGAAGTTAGTAGTCATGCATATGGTTTAAATGTAGGGCAGTATATATGTATGTAGTTTACTATTGAAACCTTCACCTATTTGTTTCGGAAGATTTCCATATCTTCTCGAGCTCTTCATTGATGACAGGCATTACTTCTGGACCAACAAACAGCACTGACGGATTGACCTAAGGTCATGAAAAAGATGTATCACACGTACATATCTTCATATCACGATTACCTTGCTAATTATTGAGAATGGCAGGTCAGATTGTATTACAATGACGTCAATAGACTAAACGATTAAAATAGCAATACTGTAAGAAAGGCGTTTTAATATTTCCATTACATCTTGCATGTACATGCGTTGATGGTAGTTATATTACATTAATATTATATTATATTTGCAGGTAATAACATCGGTAGATCATTTGGCAAATACGTATACACACTGGTTTGGACTGAATTTGTTGATAAATCAAATATAATCAGTCTAACCTGCATTGCCTTTGGTAGGTATCTATCCAGTGGGTATCTCACGCATGGCTGAAATGTTCGAAACGAGGCATTAGATCAAAAAGCATGTTAAATCACCCAGTCTGAGTGAATGTTGAATCATGGGAAGAACACTGTTAAATGTTGCTAATCAAGCAATTGAAATTCGAAATTTTACAGCTGATTTCTACAATTAGGTAATGCTATAATTTGCCATATGATAAACTGATACGGAGGCAGTGATATTAAACTTATTGATAGAATGTAACAAAAGATCAAATATTTCGATTCATTTAACCTCTGCTAATCCACCCGTCCCGCCCTTCTCATCCTCCTCCTCTTCATCATCATCATCATCATCATTATCACAAATTATCTCACCTGGAAAGGCACCAGTCCAATGTACACCGCTGCATAGTACAACACTATACTTTCCATATCTGCCATTCCAGTAAGCATGACGACATCGCCCTTCTGTAAACCCATCGCGATCAAGCCTTTCGCTGCAGCCCGACTCTATAAAAGTAAAGTATAGGATTAAATTTACGTATGTAGTTATATGGTGATATCTATATCTGTGACGAAACCAGTAAAATAAAGATTCAACAATTCAAGTCACATTCGAAATTTTACATCCGGAAGTGAGAAAAAAGGGCGGAAAAAGAAGGAGGGGGGACATGCTAACGGAATCATACGAAACATATGAGCAACGGAAAGATTTACTCGCAGACCAATAAAAACAGTACGGGAAGATCCGAAAGGCTAACTAGGACTGACTGTTCTTTTGTATTTATGTTTAATGTTTCGTCTGTAGGCAAGCACTAGAATGATTGTAAACGTTGATCACATTTTCATTTTACTACTATCAATTTGATATCGGACTACAATAGATGCTTGATAATAAAACCGCCAGTCATATTATCATCATTAAAGAACATCAAAAGCGTAAAAGCTATAAGACATCAAAATGAGATGTTGTTGGGACATCTGATAAAATTCAGTGAAAAAGACCAAGAATTATTGGATATCATGGATTTCAGGTTGTGGCCGAATGATCTTATACATAAGGTCTGGTTTTAAAATCAAACACGTCATTGACATATCTTCAAATGAAATAAAAGATATGGTTTTGTCTCCCACTAAATTTAGTATTCCATATTAATATTGACTGTTATATTGTATGACAGGATGTAACCGATATACCGAAATCTTACCCTACGAAGGAGATTCCGAAGTGTTATTTCCTGGCTGTAATCCGGAACTTTGAAGATCACATGATCGGCTCCCTGATCCGCAGCTCGGTCTAACATCTGGCCTATTGTTTTGCCACTGAGAGGAGTGGGACATACACCCTGGTAGTAGCTGTTCTGTAACGGAGATACAGCGGGGCGGCATTCTCTGCAACATCGGGTACTGAGTGTAAACTACGAATTACATGCTGTTTGGTATAATGTTGATATCATAACTAATGTAACTGGTGTAGAATAAGAAAAACACTCCCTTGCGTTTGAATTACGAACAAAATGCCATTATCAAAATATGAACAAAAGGAAAATTTATGCGAAAACTCCTGACAGCCGCCATCTAAATATTTTGTCCATCCAAGAAAATAATATGATGTTCTCAAATGAGAACAAGGTATACAACAATGAAACTGGCAAACAAAAGAGCATCAAAGCTGTCCATCGTTACATCGCTTATTGAAATAGAAAAATTAAATAAAAAAGATTACTATGACGACCGTAAAACTTCCCAATTATTTTTATCAACCACCATCTTTTGAAATCAGTGTTACGAATTTGTTCGTCTGTTGACGACTTCTTGCAAGAAAATCGTCATAATGGGAACAGGTACTTGGATATCGAATCGACAACGACATTTTAATACCATAGGTTGGGTTGCGGATGCAAGGCTTTTCGTATCCAATAAAAACTCACAATAGAGGAATAGAAATAAGGCTGTCACATAGTTTACAACGTGTTTTACCGTGATTCGTTGTTTTCATAGGGCTGTGTACAGTGCATAACGCAGTTATCGTTCTTTGCGACGGGGCTTTGATGTAGAACTAGAGCAGTATTAACACCACTCAGAAATATTAACCGGCACACCTTTTTCCAGTATATCTCATAACCTGATTATCATATGCTTTGGTATATTATTTAAAATGGTGCACAGCGATATGTAGGCGCAGGGGTAACTTGCTATAAATATGTTATTATTCATAGCATAATCAGTTTGCAGTAAGGGCACATTTTGATAGTTAATAATCTGTAGGAAAACAGCATACTTCAAGGGTAAGTCTCTCAAACCATGACAAGCAATGCTATTTGTGATGTTAAAGCACCAAGAGTACTGCAAGCTGAAGTTTAGTGGGGTGATCCTAAGACGTATCATTATACGGTAGCGCTAAAATTATCACAAATGACACCGTATCAAATAATTAAATAATAGATAGAACGCAAATATACTAACATGTCACATTACATGTGTCCGTTATAAACAACAAGATGTCCTCATAATACTGTTAATGCAACATTTTTATGAATACACTGATGCACCATGGACTTGGAATCAGCATAACCCCTATGCATACTCTTTATGTATCACAATCGCCATTGACTAACCGGCGCATTTATAAACAATGCTGTTACATATATGAAACGTGATGCCACAGGTTGTAAGCTGCCTGCATAGGTTTCTACATCATTTGTTCATGTATCGATTCAGAGCAGACTCTGACGGATTGTAGCGTTGATACACACTGGTATATAACTACACCTAATGATGAAGTGCTTCTACATGTGCCGTTTAAAAATATAGAGATGGCGGAGACGTTTACATGTAATGATAGTACATACCTGGACAAGTCCTTCAGTATCGCCTGTTTACCATCTTTTTTATCCATTTTAGATATAAAGATGCCCGTGATTCCCTCAGATTTCCTATAAACAATCGCTAGCAATCTGGTAGGTGACCTTCGGTTTGTTAATCTTATCTGATATTTTATTGCAGTGTCAAACGATAACGGTTGGACACAGATAACGTGTTAACGTGCATCACGGTGTCTATAACATTTTAAGATATACTTTTCCCTTTTCCGTTTAATATAATATGTACTTAACGAATATAACAATAGATATTTTCCATGGATGCTGATATATTAAATCAAATCTAATTTATTTTTCTATTTATAACGTTTTCAAAGGCAAAAGAAGCAAATAGTCAACCCAATGTAAAAAAAATTGAAACTTTACGAGAATGATGACACTTTGCTTGTGATTTGAGCGACATTTCAATGATGAGTGGAAAGCACAGCTCTTTCATTACAAAAGCTCAGTATAAATTTGTATAAATTTCTATCAATCATGTTCATGATTTTTGTTTTATCAGAATAATTTTCATTTATATTTCATTGACAAAAGTCATGAAATTTTTCTATGAAGATTCTTTCATGGGTGATAGAAATTTCGAAATGACTCTTGAATAAGAGCGGAATAGGGTTATTTTTAAATATACTATATATGAGTAAAGTATATTTCCTAATTAATCCGCTAAAATGATAGGTCAGACACACATACAATTAATAGTCCACCAGGTCAGATTAAGATTGTTATATATACTCTTGAGAGTATGTTGTGTACAATGAGCCACACGTGATCAGTCTTTGTGTTCATAAACGCATTATATAAGCATTATCTATGTAAACATCAAATATATAAGATATCTTGTCAGGTACATATTAAGAGTTGAGTTTGGTTTGTTACACTGGAGACCTAGCCAGTACAGACCTGTCATTTATATATAGGTATAAAGATAACTTTTAATGCCCTGAACACATTACTCGCCACTCTCTTAGATGTGAAATAGATAACCTAAAAAGTAAGGCCCCCTTTGTATTTCGATTCCTGTCAAATAAAAATGAATCTACGATCAGTGCTATTGACTACACACGTGTTTTTTTTATTGTTATTATTATTATTATCATTAATTTTCAAACAGTAATATTAATTGATAATTTTTACCAAATCGCATATGATGTGCGATCTTATCGCACACTTGTTTATTAGATACAGCATTATACGTGTGTATGCACGATGGGAGAACGATGAATGCAAGAGTTGGGTACAACGTACTTGCTGCGTTGTGTGATTCCACATTTTTCATTATTTCAATGAATTTCATAAATAAAAACACGCCATATTATATTGCTTTTCTTACACCGTGGTCTGTATGAAATGCAAAAATATCAAAAGAGTGACACCAAAACTGATATTTTCATTTGTTTGGTATAAGATTCTTCAATACAATACACGATCTGACTAGGTGATTCAGAAGATGAACTTAAGTTCTGCATTTGGTATTAATATTATACAAGTGTTTCCATTGTATAAGTTCTACACTTGGTATTAACATTATTTTTAGTGTTTCCATTGTGAAAGTTTAGGAAGTTTTATGAATAAAGGCGAATGTTACAAAAAATCATTTGTATTTACTCATTGCAAAATATCATAGGCGAGAAAGCATTTATTTTGAAAGAAGTGTTTAGATTACAAACGGCAATTATTACAATGATTTTTCATCAGCTTATCAGTTGTATGTCTTGAAAGTGTCTTGGAAATGATTTCTTCTTTTTAGATTATCATTATAAAGAAATTATTAAGTTCTGTAGATATTTATACCATTGTCAAAGTACGTATTCATTTTAAAGATTAATGAAGATTGAAATTTTATATTCTTTAACAAGAACATACTGTTTAAAAAAAACATGTATTTTTAAAACGTAGGAAAACTGGACAAAAACAGTGTTAATGATTTGATGGTAAGATGAAACGCTGTTTTTACAAGATTTTCATTTATAATAATATACCAATATCAAATTTCTTTTCCTTGAGCACTATGTTAATTTCACTAAGAGTTTGAATATCTGTGTCCAATATTCTGTCATGGTTTTGTGTTAACATTTGATTCGTTACCATTGTAGTTTTCAAAGATTTTTTTATTTTTTTATTTATTTTATTTTTTTTTTTTGTCAGTAAAGCAAAGTAAATAAGAAATTGTTCAGTAAAAATGAACTCCAAAAGTGAAAGAAAAGTGCACAATATATGGAATGAGATGGTATCAGCAATAGCATCATTGCTGCCTGATAATATGGAAATAATAACATTGATCCCCTGAAAGAAATATAACAAGTCCTATAAATTTATGTCTTAAATCTTAAAATGCAATGTTTAATTTCATTAAATACAAAGATTCTAATGAGCTTTCTACAAATTATAAATGATGAGGACTATATCATCCATGTTAAAGGACCAGCTCCTTTGTGGTTGAAATGTGATTAGTTAGACGATGGAAGTCGTTGTCCGTTTACTCATTCATTACATTGTAATTCTAATCTATTGATTCACCGTATCACTCCAAAGCAAGGTTACATAACAAGACGTCAAACTCACATCGCGGTCGACGCAATGTAATTTATCGACCTTCCAATCTTTCAATGGCGATCTCCTTCAACCGTTGAATATGAACCTATATGAATAACAAAATACTTTTATACTTACATTTACATGTATGATATAATCCTGAAACTTAAGATAATATGAAACAAAATGAAGCCAAAGAACCGTAACTTTTTCATCAGAATTAAACATAAATTGAATAGTATACACTTTATACTGATATAAATCTATACCACAATTGTCTATCTATTAGCGTTAATACAACATTCCACGTGCTTCATAAACTCTATAATCACCTACTTATTATTTCATGATACTGAGAATGATTCTTCACCGTCAGAAAACAACGAAGCGAACTTATTCATGACAGATTGTGCCCACAAGATTTAATTCACCTTTCCTCTAGAACCAACACGAGGCATGGCGTCGAGGATAAAATATTCCGTTGGACACTCGAGAAACAGGAGCTGTCAAAAGAGGAATGATATTGCACAATTAATGAATGAATGTCTCCAAGGCCAAAATGATATTCGTCGGTTGATACTAACACACACAGCCTCTGATTGATTAAATAGCAAATATATATATTCCTGGTGTAGCAAATAAAACAGTCCATGTCTTATTTCACTACAAAGGACGGGAAAACCAAGACAAGGAAATAAAATGCCTATAAAATTTCCTACTGATATACAAAATGTAGTAAATTGATACCAATTCTCGTATCTTTACCATGCACTTTCTGTTTAAGACTGGATTTGTACACAACCGTTCGGAAAAAGAATAACCTTCTTTATGATTCTCATGTTTGAATGGTGACTTAAAATATTTTGACAATAACTATCCATATACCTCTTTGATGAAATACTCCTCCAGCTCTTTTTCTGTTAGTACGGCCTCAGGATGCAGTCTAGAAATGGGATATAATTATCCATTTATAATTCAAAATTGTATCTTCATAAAATATTTTTCTGACTTTTATCGGTTTGTATCGCTTGATTACACTTGAGTTTTAACACTATACATAGTGTGCTGACCTCTTGCAGCGTTTACTGAAATGCGACTTGTGTTATAATACTTTATATTATTTACCGATACTTCACATGTGTGCAGGTGCTTTAATTCCGAACTGGCAGACATGTTAAGTTGGCGATTGAAATTCGTGTTAATGCCTTTTAAATGAACAAAAATATTTCGTATATTTTAACATAGGCGACCCTGATTGTCTTCCTTGGAGACAAAATATAACATTATCCGAACCTGATTTATCATGAACGACTGGCGAAACAATGATATCAACTCTCGTGTCTTACGTATTGATACAGATAAAACAGATAAATCTATATAACATAACTTTTTAAATCATTGTATATACCACACGATAAAATATCTTCTAAAATAGCATGAAAGAAATGCTTACTGAACAAAGAGACATATTTCGTGGCCAATATGGTTGTCTTGTATCCCCACCACCTAAAACAGTGGACAAACAATGTTGTTTTTTTTTCTTTTATATTAAATATAGTCCACTATGGTATCAGAGTTTAAGTCCTGAACAATATTTTGCAATTTTAAACATATAAAACACATTATTATATATCAAAATCATTATTACTTAGACAAGCGCAGTGTTAGTGTCACCATCACCGTACAAATGTTGAGGCTATGTCATAAAGTTATTGCCATACCCTACACAAGTAAGAAATTGGAAATTTGTAAATCATATTCCTGATTGAGATATCTAAACAATTACTAAAAAAAACTTCTCACATGTAAACAGAATCATATTTCAAAATCATGATCTATTATGAACAACAGAATGATATATCATACATACTGGTCAATCACAACAAACAGTGATTTTATTCATTATTTGGCTGAACTGGATCTATCTCTTTGTGTTTAAATATGCTATTTTCTATTGTACATCCTTCAAATCGTACAATGAAATATAGTTTTTTTTCCCAAATAAGATCAAAGTGACAACCTTAATACTTCCTTGTAGACTTAATCAACTTTTAGCTCTGGAATCACTGATATATACGTAATATTATCATGCAAAAAAGGCATAACGTTTCATACTTGACTTCAGTATTCCTACGAAATTCTGACCAACAAATCTTTATACCACGATACTGACATATGTGTATCGGGTCATTTGTGAACACCATTTTGATTTCATGTGTGTAGTGTATAATGATATGATGATGGTAAATTTGCTTTCTTGTTAGGGTATGACATTATAAGGCATCGATCTTAAAGATGACTTGAGAATTTTCATGGAAAAGCTCGTACTAATTTGAACATAGTTTATACTCATTGAGATAAACACGTTATGTTGTCATACCTTGGCCTCCTTTACTGCTTCATGTTTATTGGCCGTATCCAGTATGAGGGAGGGGTACACCTTGTCTCCTGAATGTTTAAACACGACGCATTCCTCTTTCCTACCTAGCAGCCGTATGTGACCTGTGGCATCCATAATACCAATGTCTCTAAAACAGGACACAACATCTGACGCTATTTAACATCACTTACCAAAATCCGTTTTCGTTTACCATGATACGAGACTGAAAGCTTCATAGAGCCATTGTAAAATAATCTGAGCTTTAAGCAACATAATACTTGGTATTGAGCAAGTGATGTCAAATTAAACACATGCAATATCAGTGTGTCGAGACCTTTACTAATGAAATAATCTTTTGGGTTTGGTTTTGGTTTTTCTTTTTAATTTGTACTTTTACTTTTTCCGACCGACCAAGGACTGATATGGCATTTTGTTTTTATTTCTTCACGGTGTCCAGGGACGTAAAGAGTTTCGTTTCTCTGTGGTGACAAAGATGACAAGTCGTCGATTGTAAAGTTATAAGACGTTTGGATATTATATAATGATTTTTTTTATCACGAGAAGCAGTTTATCTCACCCCAAGTAGATGTATAAAACATTCATCTTATCGCCATCGTCAAATTATATGACCTTCAAGCAATACTACTAGAAATTCTACGAAAACAAACACCTGAAATTGTTCCCTTATTTGTTCATCTCATATCTTTCCTTACGGGGAAAATACACCTCTCTATCTAGATTTTAACATTTCTTTAGATCACTTTGGAGATTTTTGTTTTTTTGCATGTATTTTTTTTTTTTTTTTTTTTACATATTGCTATTGTCACATTGTCTGTTCTTTCACTTTGACATTATTTAATTCATTAGTGAAATAATTTATTGCTGTTGAATTTAGATTGCGATGTCATTTATACAGAAGATTGAAATAAAAAAAGTAACTTAACCAATATTTACCCTAAATGCAGCCATCCAGTCTCCCTTTTTGCTTTTGTGTTTTTCACTTGAAACAGAACCAGTGTCTTCTCTGTTAACAATCTCGTTATTGTTACATTTCACTGATAACACATTAAAATGACAAGAAAATATAAGTCATTATAATTCAAACTCAAAATATGATAACAAATGAAAGATTTACACAGATACTGCTAAAAATATAAAAATAATAATAAGTTCTAAAAGGGCCTCATGCCAGCCTCAAACTAGGTTTTTGCATGATCACCATTTTTTTTTTTTTTTTTCCCAGAATTTTCATATTGCTATTGAAAAAATTGTCTGTTCTTTCACTTTGACATTATTTAATTCAACTAGTGAAATAAAAGTTATTGCTGCAGGGGTGTTCATACCCGGAAATGGAAAATTTAGTATTGCGAAATCATTTATCACACAGATTGAAATAAAAAAAGTCAAAAACTTAACCATATATTTATCCCGAATGTAATCATATGCAGCCATCCAGTACAAAATCACCTGTTTTTGCTTTTGATGTCATTTCTTGTCTTTGACAATACTACGGTGAAATGCATTTCAAACATGTATATGAAGGTTTTTTCAAATAAATTGTATTGCTGTAAATAAATACTTATTTTTTAGTAATAAATATGCCCTTTTCAAGGAAATCATGATTTTCTCAATCATTGGTATTTTAGGGTATCTATTTTCTTCACCTGATAACACAGGGATGATGTTAAAAGACAAGAAAATATCAACATAATTATATTTCAAACTCAAAATCTTTAAAACTTATAACAAAAGAAAGATTTACACAGAAACTCCTGAGAACTAAAAATATAATAGAGAATAAGACATTTGGTATGGAGCCCTATCGTATAAAACTTTCATTTACCGAGGATCCCTCCTCCAGTTTCCAATCACCTGAAGTTTTAAAAGGACCTTTCAAACCTAATAATCATGACATGACATGCCAGTGTTTTTTTTTTTTTTTTTTTTTTTTTTTTGTTTTTTTTTTTTTTTTTGTTTTTGTTTTTTATTTGAACTTCCTGTTAATTTAGTTAGATTTGCTTAACGGCACTAATTTTTGTCAGTGATACAACGATACTTTTCACTTGTGTGTCTATTGCAAAATCATATCACACAGTTATTCTGGGATAACAATTGACCATATATACAACAATTGGCCATATATTAAACAATTGGCCATATATTCAACAATTGGGCATATATTCAGCACTATCATCTATATTTGACAATTATGTCTATATTTAACAATGGGTTATACATCTACCAATATGGTCAATATTTAGTGAGTTGTAACAATGGAGCTTATATTTATCAATGGGACCTATATTTAACGATGGGGGTCAATATGTAACAATGGGGTTTATATCTAACAATCGGGGCAATATCTAGTGAGGTGTAACAATGGGACCAACAGTTAACAATGATGACAATAATTAGCTATGATATCTATACTTTATAATGGAAGCCTGTATTAGCAATGGTGTCTACATTTCGCTGGTATCAAGAATGAAATAAAATCGCGAAGAATTCCATTAGAAAAAAAGAACGTTAAAATTGACGGTCATCTTAATGATTACAGTGAACAATTTAGATTTCATATCTTTAGCCAGAACAACAGTCTTTGATATATAACTGTTCATTAATTGAATTTGAGATAATAACATATCAAGTTAATGACGTAATTATTTAGTGTTATATTTTTGAAGGCACATCACTCTAAGTATATACTACATTGGCGTTTCTCACCTCCGCATGAGGAAAAGGATATCCAACGCTCTCCATCTGCTGCGTTTGTGACGAAAGCGTAGCTGACGTCATGGAAACGATCGCTTCAGAGGATCCGTACGCATCCTGAATAGATGATAAAAAATCAAATTAGTCCGTTGGTGTTAATTAGTAAATCTCTGTGACAGTATTTCTATTAGTGAATTAAACACTCACTAAATAACTTATAGAATTCGGAAAATCAGGATAAAACAGCAGGAATTTTGGTCATATCGAAAACAAAATGACATTAGAGAAAACAAAGATAAGAATATAGAAATAATGGTTATTCGAGTATTTACTGAGCAAAGACGGCAAAATATATTGTTATTTATTTTTATGAAAAATATAAGACTTGGACCAAACTCATTGGAAACAAAAAGGAAAAAGTTTAATCCTATTACTTATGAAAAAATGAAACAGTGCTTGGGAAGTTGTTCATTTCAAAAAATGTAATTAAATCAAATATCATGTTCTCCTCAATGCAATTCGAATAGATAACGATTTGATAAAAACAATAGGGAAATATGCAGATTTATATCGGGTGTAATGGCTGCCCGGGTAATTTGTGTTTTTAAAAAACGACGAATTGGAAATTAGAATATTGAATACCATGCTAATGTTCTACGCATTTCAACAAATGTGAAAATGAAACGACAAGAGGTTACGAATGCATAACACTTGATTGTTCAACGATTGGATCGATCCTGGTATAATATATACAAATGAATGTAAATTAAGTTTTGTGAGGAGTAGTGAAGAATAATGAAAATATAATCTAAGAAACGTAATTAGTATCTTAAGTGAGTTGGGTTCTTTTTACGATAGAAAAATGCTGTTCGCTGCACATGGGAAGAGATATTTGGTTCTGATTGCTATAAAAAAAACTGATGTGATTTCTCTGAAGGCTTATTTTCTGTAACACAGAAAACTTTCGTCAAGAGGTATTTGGAAATGAAACTGACCCTTATCCAGCAGAATCTCATAAAAATGATTCCATACAACTACTTTGATGCAATTAAGGATATTCATATGTTTTTCTTCATCAAAACAGAAGTATTGTAAGAATATCTTGTATTAAATTGAAATAAGTTGAAAGGCAGTGATTCTATACTGACACTCGTGTCGGGGAAATACTGTTTTAGTCGTTGTTTGAAGTCTGGTGATATCATGTAAGCTGTTATGATGACTACAACAGAGAACAGTTACATAACAATATGTATATTCATCGTCATTTTACATAAACGAAGAGCATACGAAGAAAATCATATAAACGTTGATAAGAAAGAAAAACACACTTTAAGATATGTTGTACAAAAGAACATATAGATTTAGAGCAAATCTAAATGCAAAAAATGAGATGAGATGCGAAAGAGGAAATTAAGAATGAACCGTTCCATTTTTCGAATTAATTTACACGGAATGCAGATAACGGCAATCGCGGGAATAAAATTTCCACCAGCAGTATCTGCCACTTGCAATCTGTGATGTCACTAAAATGTAAATTTGCTCTGGATACCATTGCGTAAACAAAGGGAAAGTGATTGTATCTTCAACCAGGCTGTTACATTATCATTTATCAAATGTCATATACCTCCTCGTAATGATGATATATCGTAGTTCTGTAAACTCGGGCTATCAAACATCTTCACAAGTTCAAACGGATATCCGCTGTACCATGTCATCCTGTTATAAACAGAAGCTTTGATTAGACCAATATATTGTTTTGCAATTTCTTATGGAGTGCACTTTATCTTAATAAATTAGATATAGGATTGGATATTTCACTCACCTATAGGTTTGAATACATTCCAGCAGACATGTAATATCGTCCTGATAGAATTCTACCTTAGAAGACATGATGATCATAGTAATCTCCCGCCAGTTATATACCGCCTGTGTCACGCTCAGGAAAAACTGAATATCATCTGTTGTTGGGTTTCTTGTTCCTATTACATCACACTGTTAATTTCCGTTTAAATATTTTAAATATCGAATTCAAAACGCAGTTTCACAATGTTAATTGAAATACATTTAACTTATACTTATCTTTATTTAATCTTTATTTGATATTTGTTAATATGCTATTTAACTTTCCCAATGTTTGTTTGGATATCATTATCCATTACATTGCCACTCAAACAATTAGCAGATTATCTTATGAACGTAATGGTCACAAAAACACACAGACCGCCAACCACATATGTCTACGCACAGCCTGACATCCACACACTCACATATATAAATCATTGGACAAAGGTGTAGACGTTTTGCATGAAACAATCCTATATGAATTACAACCTACCTTTTGGTAAGGATTTCGTCTTGTGTTCGCAAACTTCGCAAAGTTGACAGCATAAAAATGAGACTGGCACACATGCTTAGCTTCACCACTTGATCCCTTAAACAGAAATTCAGCATTTGCGAACATATAATCACAATATATTTAAAGATTGCACAATAGACATAAAAGTTGGTAGTACCTTTTAAAACAAATCTAGATACAGTCGGACAATGAATTAAACTGCGCTATCCAGCAGTTTGATCCTGGTCATTGCTAATTGCTAATGCCCTGAGTTTTATAGGAAAATTCAATGTAATCGAGAGAAAAGTCAAAATCTAGAGGGAGAGGTGCTGTAACCCGATAAGGCAATAAACGTCGTAAATGTATATCAAAATTGAGAAAATTAGGACACCGTCAGGTATTTGGGTATATTCTGTAACGTTTCATCACCTGACATGCAGTTGTTGTTAATGCTTCGCAGTTGTTTCGATATTCAAGGACTTGATCTCATTTACACAATCTTCCTACAAGATGTCGGCAACAGATAAACTCACAACAAAAGGTTTCGGAACATGCAGATCATCAAGATAATGGGGAAGAGTTTGACTGTCTTCATAATGATCTAATTGGGAAATATTTACTTGAATTGAAATCTAGTGAGTGCCGTCTATGAGGAAGCAGACACTTACTTTTCCGGAACACACGGTCTTATTATCATTGTACTTTTTTCGTGTAAATCTTTCTTTTGATCATATTCTACCCCAGTTTTATTGGATTATGATTCTGTTGACATGTTGGTATATTCATGTTGCTTTAGTAGACATTCTATCTTATGTATACAAGAAATTTATGGCCTATTTACATATTAAGTGGTTAAGGCATTTTGCGCCTTGTATTAATGCGTGACATGACACCAGTAAAGTTATCTGTTTACTCAGTGGTCACATCACATGATGACATCAGTATCACAGTAGATATTTATATTATACTGATGCCGTCATCACAGGAATGTGTTGTACTGTTTAATACTCACTGATGTCGCCACTATGTAGGCGATATCCTCCGTACTAACTCGGGAGGTTATGTCGTTTAATGCGACATCCGACACGGTTTCACCCTGCTTTAGGAATTCTGAATATTGACTGAAACTAGATATACTTTGTATATATAAATCAATAGATGAGATAACATCAGTACATCAGATCAACTAAATCAGAGAAAAATTGAATTATCTGCTTTAGAAACACATATAAATTTTGACGAATCCTACCATAAGTTTATAATCTGAATTGTTTTGTTATAATGTGTTTCTATTTTTATATTACAATATTTTCATTTACATCTCTTTCACTTCATATCACTCTCCCTGGTTCAAATCCGTATTGTATTATCACGATCTCATAATGATATGAATGTTTTGTAAATACTTCAGAGGGCAAAGGTAGCTACTTACTTGTGTTTGTTTGTCCCAGTGCAGATGATATCTTTAAGTGTCTTCGACCTACAGATAGATAAAGGAAATCGTGCAATTAGACAAACCATAGTTAATGTTTTCAGATACTTTATTCTACACGAGCAAGTCTTTAAAATAAATTTCCAATGCTTTCATTTTAAATGTTTGTGGATATTTTATTTGACAAGTATAACAATACCTTGGTAATTGTTAACTTACTTTCCGATACTCGGTATTAATTAATGTCCTTACATTTCAAGTAGAGACAGATGCATGTAGTGTTTGTCGAGTGTTTTCTATATGGTTTGATCACATAATCTCTTTGTTATTCAATTAATGTACCAATGTCATATTTTTGGTATTACACACGTGTGGTATAGCTTATTTTGACGTCACTGAAGCTATTGAAATGACGTTATGCATTCACAGATGACAAGATACCGTAATAATGGAGATAATATATACATATATCTACATATGTATACAGCGATCGAGACTCCGATAAGACGTAGAAATGTCCGCTTTCTACAATTTTTGCTTGTTAAATTTACCATGTGATAATACCAACGGTTCAACAAAAGTTCTAGGACTGACTCCATAAATTAACATATCCAATGGAAACGTATGTATGATCCATATGCAGGACATGTATGGCATTATGTTAATGATTGTGGTGCACGTAGAATACTAGATTTATGTTTGTAGTCAATGTAGTTTGGTATCAATACATATGTGTGTATGTAAGCAGTACATGGTCGAGGCCATTTTGGTGCAGTAAAGGTATGTAAATGGTTGTAGTATGATATGGTCCGTTATACTGATGATTTAGTACGGTATATGTATGTATGTAGTACCATGTAGATGGTTATGATTATGGTTCTACTCAATGAAGTTTTATATATTTTCGTATACAATATATATAAATCTTTATGTTAAGGTTGTAGTACATAAACAACGTTATCTAAATGATTGCAGTATATATCTATATATTTTGCTACTGAAAGATTTACCTATTTGTTGGTGAAGATTCCCATATCTTCTCGACCTCTTCTTTGAGGACAGGTAATACTTCCGGACCAAGAAACACCACTGATGGATCGGTCTGGGGTCGAGAACGGAGGGATTAAGATTACTTTACCTTATATCACTACCTTGATAATCGTTGACATAATAAATGTCATGCGTGTATTTGCGTAAAAATCGGCATTTCAACTGAATTTTATTTCAGAATTAAAATCGATGATACAACACCAAAAAATGAACAAAGTAGAGATTTACACAGACACTAGTGAAAAACTAAATATTCTGGAAGTTTAAGTGATCTCTGCTCCCATATTTAACTTAAGTGAATACAAGTATTAAGAATAAGGCTATAATTACGTCTAACGAAATTCGAACACGTGATATGGAGTATAAGGAAATGCAATGTAATGCTTCCAAACAAGATCTTATATCGTACGTTATGTGATCAGCTGGCGCCATTTATATCGTGTATTCCTGTATTGGGAACAAACTATTGAATCTATTCCAACATGTAAACTTCATAGCTTTGGGAATTTCTATCAGTATGCATAAATGGAGAAATTACAATCATCATGCTTTTCATACAGCTTTTTAAAAAGCTGTCACTGTTTGATGCCATGTTTATCAAATTCTAATGACATATCCTATGTTTAAACCCAGAACACCAGGTTTCGAAGATGTTTCGAATGTTCTATGGTTGTTGATATCGTTAAATACATTATTTCCTTGCGTGATATTAAGTTGAGTTTGTTGACGATAATTAGTATGTCTGGTTGTTGTTGTTTACGTTGCTTTGTTAGTCTTGATAACCAATTACTATTGGATAAGTTATGATACGCTGATATTTTGTAGATTCATTGATAGTAACATCTGTATGTCCTTTTAATAGATACTTATACACAGCGTTTCTTATATTTTACTCATATTACTGAAAAAATAAAGATGTCCAGTGTCACCTGCATTGCCTTGGGTAGGTATTTTTCCAGTGGGGACCGCATGCAAGGCTGAAATGTTTGTAACGTTGAATTAGAAAACGCATATCTAATAACAAAGTCATCAAACAACACAACCTGAATGCCGTATCATTGAATCTATTAATAATTAAAATATGGGAAATCATAATCACACAATGAGGTAATGCGATCTTTTAAGAGTCCTTTTCATATGTCAAACAGAAACAGGAAAACAATATATTTGATTATTGATAAATCATCAACATCATCATCATCATCACCATCATCATCATCACAAATTATCTCACCTGGAAAAGCACCAGTCCAATGTACACCGCTGCATAGTACAACACTATACTTTCCATATCTGCCATTCCAGAAAGCATGACGACATCGCCCTTCTGTAGACCCATCGCTATAAAGCCTTTCGCTGCAGCCCGAGTCTAAAACAAAGTACTATACTCGCAGCCTGTACTAATACAAAGCAATAAAGTGTCTGTATCGCAGATATGCATGCCATCTTACTGACCAATTTGATTAACACACATTCCGTTTATAAATTCATATATATATTAATTTCGTCATTGCGATTGCGCTTGCCACTATTGTTTTGTTTTTGTTTTTTTTTTTTTTTTCTGTTGTGCGAACTTTGAACTTTGAACAGATGTCCTATATATGACAACGGGATAAATGTAAGTTTAGAATCGAATTATGATACTAGATAGGACTTCTCCAAATCAGAGTTCATTAGTATAGCCTTTAGAAGCTATTTGAAATTCTCTTAACATATTTTTTGCATTTTGACCCTCGTTTTCTGCTGTATCTTCAACATACCTTCCGGATTATTTTCTATTGGTATCTTTCCTGCACTATTTATAGCTTTCGATATTTCAATTCATTGGGAAACCCTATAATCTTTACAACTGTATAGTTATAAATAGTGCATTTTAATACAAACACATATAGAAAACATATAGCAGCATTTAGAAACGTACTGTATTTGTACCGGGGTGGGATCCACATTCCACAATCAAATACCTTTGTACACTAATCAAGGCAACATGAATTTCAGGTAAAAGTTATGTCACCTATGCAGGAGAACTCTGACAATTGCTTGGTCACTCACGACCGGTTAATCTAATAATGTGTAATATACAACACAATGCCATGTAATAAAATACAACAATATTCATCTGAGTATCATTCATCTTAGTTTATTTAAATGAAATATTACGTTTGTAGGTAAGGCAGGAGTGTAACACTTCATACCGGATATTATAATGCGAATAGACGAATCACATGAAATCGGGGTTAAACGATGCAAATGAACTGTACGCGTTGGCGTCATTTTAATCTCGATTCCACGTCTTTTTGTTATTTCGTTCGGGTAGATTTTCTTCCTTTCGTTTCTTCGCCTAGCGTCGTTTTCTTATGAAAGAACCAAAACGACGAAATGTCATGTATAAGCCCCCATAATTATACGATATAACGGAATGCATTGCATACACCGAAAGCTTACCCTACAGAGGAGATCCCCAAGCGTTATTTCCTGGTTGTAATCTGGAACTTTGAAGATCACATGGCTGACACCCTGATCCGCAGCTCGGTCTAACATCTGGCCTATTGTTTTGCCACTGAGAGGAGTGGGACATACACCATGATAGTAGCTGTTCTTTAGCGGGGATACGGCGGGACGGCATTCTCTGCAACATCGGATAGTGATAGAGTTGGGATAACGATTATTCAAAAGACACACAAGTAAATAGCACCTTTTAATCATTTAGAGTTAGATACAGTAGAAACATTGAATACCACGAATTACATGCTATTTTATTAAATGTTTATATCTTAACTGATATTATTTGTAGGGAAGCTGCTTTTTAGTGTTTCGAATACGAAGAGTTGTAATAAGGCGTAACAACAGGAAGGAAAATTTTCTCTCTACAATCAATTTGAACGTTTATCCTCTTTATTAAATTTATTTAGGAAATAATCAGCATGTCCGAGAGTTCTAGGGAGGTTCCATGGTTATTAAATGCGTTCAACATATTTCAAATCAGCACTAAATGAGCTCTCAAATTGGCACATGATACATACTTATGTATCACAAGCATCACTTACAAACTTGTTTATTATTGAACAAGCGCTTTTAAGCTAAGGATATGAGATGGCACAGTTGATGGTTTTGCTTACATAGGGTTATAAGTAGTGGTCACATATTAACGGTACATACCTTGAGAAGTCCTTCAGTAACACTTGTTTACCATCGTGTTGATTTACTTTAAACATCGTGTAGTCCGCTGCCCTCAGATTTCATCTGATTGGGTGACCTCTAGTTAGATTAAATATTTCTCATTGCAGGGTCAGCTATGTACAAAGGCCGGTAGCTATAGGTCATATTTGACTTCGTATACAGTTTTATCAGGCTGCATTCAACACGTATCTGAGGTCCTCTCCATCCTTCCTTTACCCCGGTTTCTCGTTTAATATGTTAGATATTTCAAAAATAGTACCAAATCTATATTATGTTTATCGCAAATCTCCTAAATAGATTTTTTTTTATTTTAAATGTAAAAAGTAACAGAAAATCACCCCATATGTACACAAAACCTTCTGACAATAGAGCGACATCTTGTAATGATCACTGGTATCATTTGTATTGTTTGAATTAAGACAGATCTAGCAATTTGCTTTTGCTGAAAATGTGATCTCTGAGAAATATTTTTTTTCTTTGTACGCTAGTTAGTTTGCCTGTTGGTTCTGTTGTTGTATACCTTGTTCTCAACTGCAAACGCGACATTACTTACTTGGATTATCAAAGAGTATGTGGCAGGTGTCGTCGATGAAGCAGAAGACGCTTACTTTTTAACAACACCTGGTCTTATTATCCTTTCAGGAGTCTGCATGCAATTCTTTCTTTTCTTTTTGTTCATATGTTGCTCTGGTTTCTTGGAATTTGAGTTTAGATTATGATTATTTTGACCTGTATTTTCTTTTTTATTAGTTGTTTTTGTTATGCTTTTTGTCAGAAATATAATTTTGAACATTTGTAAGATAGTTTGGTCATGTTGCAATAATGAATATTATTGTCATTTATAATTCATAGGCATAGTAACAAAATCATATTCATATTAATCAAATTATATAGAGGGCATAGAGTGTCATATAAACACTACACACGATAATTCTCTACAATTACCAAAGAATCGTTGATGTCATCATGTATAGCTTGATGGATAACCACTGGCAATTCTGGTGGAAATTGCTTAGGTGCAATAAGCATAGATCATCATATAATATTCAAATACCTGACCTTGCCAGAACAGTTCAAGCTCTTTCAAATGGCAATGGTGAGTGTGGACACATGTCAACACAGATTCTCAACTCATTATTTCTACGTTGTATCCTCGACCGGAAGTTATATTTCATTTAAACACATATAATATAATGCACCGCTCTTTTAAGGCAAGCCAAAAATATGTATATATATATTTAATTTGAAAACTGATGATGATATAAGATCTGTTATACAGTTTTTGTCAGATTGACTAAAAATGTAAACATTTCATATGATGAAATCAGCAAATATATCATTGGTATACATTTCGTAAATTCAAAACACACCATAAAAACATGCTTACCTTACACCTTAGTTTTGTACGAAATACTACCCTACCCTAACCATCCATCAATACCATACACCCTTCACTAAATCATTTGAAAAGTTTCACACAGTTCAATGAGTAATATTCTAATATTCTGTAGACTTTTTGAATTCTTCAGATTACATTGTGACAAGGTGGTTCAGGAAATGTATGTTATTCATTTTCTTTGTAAAATTGTTATTTAACGTTTTCATCGTCAAAGCGTTAAATCACGTTTTATGAATGAAACGTTATTAAAAGTTTTTTGCCAGTTTTTCATGTATTGTCATTTTAATTTTTCCAGTTGCCAACCTCTGGAAAGCAATGAATGCGCCCGAATGAAATAAAACGTTTGCTTGAAACACTTATTTAACTGGCACGTTCATCTTATTTATTTTTTAGCATCACTTTAGTAGGTAGACAGCGATATATGTATGTAAAAGACGATAATAGCATAGGCCCAGTAAAAGAAACAAGACAAGTTCTTATGATCTTAAATTTTATCATTCATACTTGAACATTGTGAAATATATTTATTGAAATGAACTTACAGTAATTAAAAAAGAAAGGGAAACTCATTTTTATGAATATAAAATATATTTAATCATTGAAAAATAATATGTAGATACATTCATAATCTAAAAAGTGCACACATATAATGTATGAACTTAATATAAGTATATAAAATATATTTAATAATATAATAGTATGGAAATGTTGCGTAAACATGTTACTTGGAATTGCACTTTAGTCCAAAGCATATCACGTTAACTTTCCTATGGAAGTCACATATTGCTGTTTATACTGTATATTGCTAACTGATATTTACTAGACTAAATTCATCAAGGACATAAGTACATATCAGATAAAATAGAATAGTACAACCTTGATAGATCAAAAGACACACGTTAGTACCATTATACAATACGAATTTAGAATTTGATACATTGTAATGATGGATAAGACAGCAACCTATAATTGTTTTGTCATTCTAGGACTCGTTAATGATGAATTCTAGTAGGATACAAATCGAAATTACAAATTGGTCGAAATAAATTTCAACACCAATAAGGAGCTAGATGACGTGGTCTTGCCTAAAATATACTTACTTTCAAAACATAATTATTTCTAACGAACGACAACTATTCTACATGTTATCACTATTCGACTGCGTTAAAGGGGCTATTTAGTCAAGTTTTTTTTTCTAGTAACAAATTCATCAGTAAAAATTTGGTTCTATAATACTTACAAGCGCGTGTTTTCCATCTTTTTTTTAAAATAAATTATACGGGAAATCCTAATCGTCTGTACATACACGATAAATGCTAATGAACAAGCCGCCTATGCACACTTTGACCTGTGAGCGTGCGAAAACGCGTCTGAAAAAAAGCGTGTTCGTGGCAAACGGGCCATGTTATTGCACACCAAATGTAGAAAAGGCCAGTGGCAGAAAGTTCACTCTCGAATAACAATAGGAGAGCAGTACGAGAGGTGGAACAAGTTCAAGAAAGAAAACTTTTTCCAAAGTAATGATGTAGTTGTGAATACTCTCCTTGACTATTGGTAAGTATTAAGTCATCATCGCTGGTGATATTTTTGTATGTCAGACCGTGTTTGGCAGATTTAAACCATCAAATAACAATCCATCGTGAATTCTAGTAACTTTTATATGTTTTCACTTAATGCCTCCATATCGCTTGCATTTGTTTACAAACAGTATTCTTCCCGCCAAAGGGTGCAGCGTTTCGCGTTATATTTGGATTATTGCTAATTTTGGCGGGGGCTTCCCCAGAATTTTAACTGACCGCACTGGACATTGGCTACGTAGGAGAAAACTATTACGTACAGATTTGTTTGTCTGTAACATACTGGTTTCATCACAAGTATCTATCACTTGCAAACAGATAAAAAATTCACATAAGTTAATAGGAATGTTCAATTTGATACTGGAAAATCCCAAATGCTAGATTAATAGTTTATTGTTCGTTTTGAAGGCAAAAAAGCTAAAATGTTACTTTTTAAATAGTCATGTCCAGTTTTATACTATTACAGAAAGTTAAGTTGTGGAGTACGTGGGAGCGGAAACTAAAACTTTGATACTTGTTAGGATGAAAGTGAATACTTAAATACTACCACTAGCAGATGAAAATTCTGAAAATGACAATTAAAAAGTGGAAATTGAACGCCTTTTCTTCCAAGGGAGGTTTAGAACTTTCCAAACCGTAGGATTGGTAATAGTGGAGGTGGTGGGAGGAATATATTGACCTGAAAAAAATCATTAAAAGACACAAAGAATACACTCTTTTAAAATTGTTACATATTTTGATAATTTGTCAGTGATAAGACATAATGATGAAGACCATATCGTCCCTATACAAAGACATTTTCCCTACGGATATGTGTGATCATATCATCCCATTTCAAAGACAAGGTTCCTAGGGATGGATGTCATCATCTCATCCCTGTTCAAAGACAAGGTTCCTAGGGATGGAAGTCACATATCATCCCTGTTCAAAGACAAGGTTCCTAGGGATGGAAGTCACATATCATCCCTGTTCAAAGGCAAGGTTCCTAGAGATGGATGTCATCATCTCATCCCTGTTCAAAGACAAGGTTCCTAGGGATGGATGTCATCATCTCATCCCTGTTCAAAGACAAGGTTCCTAGGGATGGAAGTCACATATCATCCCTTTTCAAAGACAATGTCCCTACGGATGGATGTCATTATATCATCCCTCTTCAAAGACAAGGAACCTACGGATTGATGTGATCATATCATCCCTGTTCAGAGACAAGGACCCTACGGATGGGTATGGTCATATCCCTGTTCAGGGACAAGGTCCCTACGGATGGATGTGATTATATTTGTATCATCCCTGTTCAAAGACAAGGTCCCTACTGTGTTTAGTTAGATGATAGGGTCCGTCCTGTTTATTCACTTATCACAAAGTAATGTTTCATCTAAGTGTTCTATTAGAAAAATGATATTTCAATACATGTATATATATATATTCATTCACCGGTTTCACAACAATATAAACTGTATTACAAATCGTTGGGAGTTTTCTCCCTTTCTTCCAACTAACTTCACAGTCGTTGTATTTTATCGCCGTTCCAATCTATCGATGGCAATTTCCTTCAACCGTTGAATATGAACCTGCATAAGTAACAAAAAACCTTCATAACTTGTATTTACATATGTAATACATATAAAATTTCAGAAAATATTAGAATTTTGATAAAAATTTGAAAAATTCTTAAACATCTATCATTGTGTTGACCTTTATACTGATATCAATCTAAATCACTTTAATTCAGCTACTTACGTTCATACAACATTCCTTATGCCTCATAAAGTCTCAAAATTGCTACTTATTATTTCATGAGACTGAAAATGTGTTATCATAACTTAATCATGATAGATATGCTATCAAAATTTAATTCACCTTTCCTCTAGAACCAACACGAGGCATGACGTCAAGGATGAAATATTTCGTTGGACATTCGAGGAAAAGAAGCTGTTGAAAAAGGAGAAATATTGTATAATTAACGAATAATTGTTTCCAAGGCCAAAACAATACTTGCCTTTTGATAATTATCATGTCAGTATTTACAGCACATCCTCATACTTACGAGCATATACATGCATACATAAATTTTGTGTCCACTTGCAGAGACCTGGTGTATTAAAACAAATAGAACACAATGAGGTGTAAACATTTGTGTGATTCTGGTTGAAACGTATCCAACGATGGCAATACATCACAGAAGACATTCATACCATCAACTTAAATTTCACCTTTATAGGTGACTACTTTTAACTCCGAAATCACAATAGTTCGATGGCCTTACAGTCCGAAGACTCGATAGTCCGAATGCCCGATAGTCCGTAAATTTAACCATAGAGAGGCGATAATTAGTATCGACAAGGGCCGGAGGCCGAGTTCATTATCGATATTTGAGCTCCTTAAATGTCATACCTGTTTTATTATATTTCAGTACCAAAGTCAGATAACAAAATTCTCTAGGTATGATCCCATGACATTTAGAATATATATGACATGTGTCCAACAGATTTGATTGGTCGCAATTAAGGGACGCAATATGATGTTTTATCAAAGTCGTAAAGTGCAATTAGATGTTAAGTGGACGATCACGTGCTCAGATGTAGACTAAACATCATCTGATACAAAACTGAAAATTTGATAAACATATATTTTGCAAGTGAAATATAAGTATTTATCAAAATGATCAACCATCTCGTAGAGTGACAAATTCGAAACGCTATCTTGGTGTCAAACGTCAAATATTCTACTTAAATTTCCTGACCTTTTATTTACGTCGGCATTTGTTATATTTGGATAGAAGTTTTCTATTTTTTTTCCCTTAAGAGAATGAGATATATAGAAATTTTTTTATACTTCCCAATTAAATAACATACATGCTTTAATTATCCTCGTTCAAATATTGATACCATGTAATATGCATGAATTATAAATGATTGTATATATCGTTTATACACTTAGATACAAGATATGATTGTTATGGTGTAAGTGTTTTATCAGAAAAGAATCACGTTGATATATATGTCAATGTGATAGTTGATACATACATCATATATGACAATGGATTTTTCCAACCGATAGAGAAAGAAACAAAGTAGTAAACAATCGATATCAATTTTTGTGCTTATATTATCTTTGAGCATGGTCGTTTAGACGTTTTCCGATGACTCTTTCAAATGCACAGTTGATTATTATGGCAATTGATGAAAACAGATAGCTTGAATTGGACTCAAAATATGATGTATTTCGGTAAGTAAACTATGTACGATGTGCCAGTGTGGTCAGATAATCTAATCTAGCAAGAGCTGCTCAGATCAGTTGTTGGTTAGTCATTAAAGTCATTAACATAAATAATAGAATTATTACATTAAAACTTATCAAATTATATTTGTGTGTATCTGAACCCTTTCTCCCGTTTACGTACATGATTTTTAATTAATCTATTTAATTCTTTAAGCTTCCCAGGACGTATCTTTGTACCGAAACATTTAACAAATTTTCAGTAAATCTTCAAAAAATTTATTTATAGATTATCGGCCCCTTCAGAATATACGGGGTGTCAACTTATTAACTGCCTTGTAATAAACATTATCATTGCTTCACCAGTCCGCTAACCCTGTTACTCTATATCAAATTTAATATGATGACAGGTTCTCTGAGTGGAAACCACATCAAATAGAAAGAGAAGAATGAACGTTCAGCCCTGGATTTCGAATAAACTTTAACATATTACAGTTTTAAACCAACAACAGCGGAAGTAGATCACTACAAGGAAAAGGAAATCCCCAAAGAAATGAAATCATTATTTAAAAAAAATGTTTTTTATTGAAATTGTCTCCAGTTGTGACCATACAGGAAAGGAATATCTTTCTTTATGATAAACCACCTGACAATACCTATCTACGTACCTCTTTATTGAAGTATTCCTCCAGCTGTTTTTCTGTTAGTTCGGCATCAGGATTCAGTCTACATATAGGTTATCATTATCAAGTTAAAAATCTAAAAAATACATGTTTATAGTATATTATTCTACATTGTATCCCTTTGTATCATTTGTTCTATTTTGACATATATGCTAACGCCTTGCATTATCTATTGACATTTGACATGTATTATAATTTTGTTTCGCATTATTCACTCACGTGTGACAATTGTAAAGTTAACAGACACATTGTATCATGTTGGCGAGTGAGAAAAGTGGTCGACATCTTCTGAATAAATAAAAACAGTTCGAGTATTCTGACATTGGCGATACTCATTATATTTCATGAAGACAATATATAGCATTATCCGATCCTGATTTACCATGAACGACTGGCGAAACAACTCTCGTGCCTTACTTATTGATACTGATAAACAAGTATTGTACATCTATAGAACATTGATTTTTAATATAATTGTAAATACCACATGGTAAGGTATCTACTTAAACAGCATGAAGGAATCACTTACTGAACAAAGAGACATACTTTGTGGCCAATATGGTTGTCTTGTATCCCGACCACCTACAACAAAAGAAAACATTTTTATCAACAGTATTCACTTTGGAATAAAATACAGTCAACTTCTTAGATGCATCGAGAATTTAAATTATGAAATCTAAAAACAAATCTTTTAACAACCTCACTTAACAGAATCATTCTTATTATGTACAGTCGTAATTTTGAATAATCTGTAATATATTTATTTTGAAACTCGTACACAATCTCCGATTGAGGTATGTATATAAATATATATATAAACATACAAAAAACCTTTGGGCTTGTAGATATAACTATAATTCTATAGCATGATCCTGCAAGAACTCATTTGATATAATAATAAGATCTATCATTTATGAAAGATGATTGCAGAATACCAATAGAATAACTCTAACTGATGTGTATACATTATACTTCTCCGTGAGATAAACACATTAGATTGTGTTACCTTGGCCTCTTTAACCGCTTCATGTTTATTGGCCGTATCCAGTATGAGGGAGGGGTACACCTTATCTCCAATATGTTTAAACACCACGCACTCCTCTTTCCTACCTATCAGCTCTATGTGACCTGTGGCATCCATAATGCCGATGTCTCTAAAACAGGACACAACATCTGACTTAATATCGCCATTGTAAAGTCATCTGAGGTTTGAGCAATGTCAATACTTCATTTTACTCATAGCTGAATAATCATATAATTCCATGAAAACATCGATGAAGTAGAAGTCCTGTCAAGTGCCTAGTGCCAATGTTGATAAATTTAGGTGAGTGTGTTAGACTATGACAGACTAAAGGACTATCTAGCAGTATCATTTGTATTGGTGAATTCCGTGTATTTTACCTAAATTCATCACGAAAGTCTGTGAGAGGCAAAACTTATCTGTAACTTCACTTGATTAATCGATAAATACGTTTTGTGAAGAGGTCTGGTAATTTCGTGGAATTTGGCGAAATTAAATTTACCAATGTGATATCGTAATTTGCGATACGGATGATTCTAAAAAAAGTTTGCAACTGAAACCAATATTTACCCTAAATGCAGCCATCCAGTCTCCCCTTTTGCTTTTGATGTCATTTCTGGGTCATTTAAGTACTTGGTGAAACAGAACCAGCCTCGAGTACATATCTCTCCAGCTTTACCTATTGGTAATATCTCGTTATTGTCACCTACGATCTTCACCTAATTATACATGAAGAATATAAAAAGAATTTCATCACCTGAGATGTAATTCCAATGTTTATATTTACAGCAAGTAAGGATTCTGAATACATTAAAAAGAAATAGAAATAATAATTCGTATTATCATATCATATCTATATGTAAAATGTTTCTCAAATATGAAAGTAATTATTATTTTAAATATTTACATTCCAGCTGATTTGAAGGACTTACCTCTCTGTTATCTATTTTTATTGGTTCCTATTGTCATGGTTGAAATCAAAAGGATGCATCTTTCATAGAAGCCATTAGCATTATTTTCCGTTTTAAGTTTTATTATCAATGCATTTGTTTGTCGCGGATTAATATGATCTTCAAAAATAGCAAATCTTCCCAAAAGTTTTAGACGTATATATTTGTATCATAGATACGAGGACTTTCAAAACAAAGCTGAAGGAGAACTGATAGCCTCTTCCATGATTTCCATAAAATTATAATTTTGTTATTTATTAAACACATTAGTTTCTGTATTGATTTTTCTATCATTCTGAGAATCGCATGTGATAAAAAAGGTTATTAGATCAAATGAAATATTTTTTATTTGACATATCAAATATCTAATATAATGTTTTTCACCTGTGTGTGAGGAAATGGATAGCCAACGCTCTCTGACTTCTGAGTTTCTGATGACAGTGCCGCTGATATCATGGAAACCATGCCTTCAGAGGACCCATACGCATTCTGTAATATGGTTGATGATCAAATTTGTATGTTACAGTTTTCTTTCAAGGCTTCTTGTCTGAAACGTCTTATTTATTTGTTATACATCTTGGTATATCTAAAGCCATATATCATATCGCAACTGTGAAATCTCATATCATACGAATCAAGGACGCCATTGGGTAAAGGGCAATAGGAATTAAAAGTAAACCACATCGAAAGGATATAACAATTTTCATACAAAACTGAAGGCTACATGTAAGGGTCAGTTTCCTACACTGAAAGTTATCATCATTAATGAAATCCATATTGTAATATTGAAATATTTATTTTCTTGGAGTATCATCAAATACTTCTGGGTCGTGTACTGCACGTGCAGGATGTTTTCAAAACTAAATCTGAAGACGATTGATAATACACTCACACTTGTGTCCGGAAAATGTTGTTTCAGTCGTTGTTTTAAATCTGATGTTATCATCTGAGCAGTGACGACGACTACAACAGCGAAAACATAGCGATATAAACATATCGTCATATATTTTAAACGAAATGTACACGAAGAACTTAAGTGATGTACCCCTTGATAAAAATAAACATGTAGACGTTTTAAAATTCTCACTCATTATGTTTAAAATGTTTATTCTGTATTCATGTAAAATCACCAATATCGTGATAACCGAATCCATGCCTATCTCTCGTCTTTAATCCTCTTTTAAAAATGTGCAACTGCCAACATCATTGAAATGTATAACCGAGATATCCAGAGGTTACTGATGTCAGGAAGAACCCTGTATTATCTACTTAATGTTAAACAACTATAACAAACTGATCAGGAGAGAGTTATGTAATTACATTACTATCTGTGGTGGACACATTTGATTAAACAAAAAGAAAGTGATTATAACCACAGCACAATCCACTATTAGTCTGTAACGTCAAAGAAATAATTGGTTGTTACATTAATGTTTATTAAATGTTTTACCTCCTCGTAATGATGATATATCATAGTTCTGTAAACTCGGGTTATCCAACATCTTCACAAGTTCAAACGGATATCCACTGTACCACGTCATCCTGTCATAAACAGACGCTTTAATTAGATTGATTTATTGTGTTTTCCTATATGTTATATTGTACTTTATTTTGATAAATTTAGTTAAGAGTAATTATACATTTCACTCACCTGTAGGTTTGAATACACTGCAGCAGACATGTGATATCGTCCTGATAAAAATCTACCTTAGAAGACATGATGATCATACTAATCTCCTGCCAGTTATATACCGCCTGTGTCACGCTCAGGAAAAACTGGATATCATCTGTTGTTGGGTTTCGTATTCCTATTATATCGCTCTGAAAATTTAAATATTTGAAATTTAACACAAGGGAAATATCTAATTTCAGACGAAATTTGACATTGTTAATTAATATGCATTACACTGTTACTTGTCATTATTTAATGGTTTTTATATGCTATTAATCTTTTTCAAACATGCGTGTATTAAATGTTTGTGTGGGACATATCCATTCATTATTTTGTTAAATTAATGTTATATATCGCATATGTCATACTGTTGAAAAAACTGCATATCATCTGTTGTTGGATTTCTTGCTCCATGTTACTTTATAATTTCTATTTTCGTTTCAAATAAAGTGAAAGTGGCAAAATATACATCTTGATTTTTTATGTGAATAAACATTGTACAGCATACTTTATCCTGAAAAATATACATCATAATATACATCTACTACTTACTTTCTGATAAGGGTTTCTTCTGGCATTAGTAAACTTCGCACAGTTGACAGCATAACAATGAGACTGGCAAACCAGTTTAGCTTCGCCACTTGATCCCTGTAACCGATATTCAACAGAAGATACTGTTTGTGTTGTATACATGGTGACAATTTTCATTCTAAACATTGCGAAAACTCTCTTCATATATCTTAATATATTTAAGATTTCTTCATGTATGAAAGATATTGTCTTCCTGTACCTCAACACACACGAGTACGGCATCTTGACATTAAGTCGACATCCAGTCGATAATTTCTTTAGAATTGCATTAGTTTTGTAAACGAATTACACGGAACCATCAAACTTACGGCTGACATCTCCAGTGCGAAAAAAACACTTTCCTGGACACTCACACTCATCAAGTGAAAAATAAGCTAGGATTTCTACAGTAAACCAATAGACATCTGCCATTACCTTTGTCCATCTAGTTGTCACCAACCCCATCCTACAAGGGACATTCCATTTTCCTAAGAGATTCAGGAGCATTATATCGGACTACATCGCCTTTGCTTAGAATTGAAGTCCCATCTACTCAACATGGGACATAAAACAGGTCGGATCGACCGAAAACTCGATAGAGTTAACGAACTAGACAAGGCTAGTACACTTACACCCCGGCAATCCGCCCATGTCAACTGTCTTTAAGAAACAAATCCTACTGTCGTCCAGTAAACTTCAGAACATTTTCCTGGAACTACCAATGCTAGCTTATCGAAGACCGAAAAATATCACAGACCTGGCGGGGAGTGGTAAAAGTAAGAGGTGCTAGCTTTTTCCGTATACTCACAGCACCAATTCATTCAAATGTGACGTCAACGGCCAGAACTACCACATCCTCCAATCGGCATTCTGCACTTCAGCCAACGTAATATACTTGATTACATGTACAAAGTGTCATTTGCAGCAAGTGCGGGGTACCAAAACACTATTTGAAAGCAGGGACCTGCAAGTAGCAAGATAATTCAACATGTCAAGCCATATGTGTCATGGCATGACAATGGTACCCATGAACTACTGCTGGAGTTGCGGTGACCTGCAACGTCTCAGTAAGGAACGACACTGAAGTAACCAGAGTCTAACCTGCAACTCACTCAGCATGGTAGGGAGATGATATTTACAATGTCGACCGTCTGCCCGGAACAGGGTGAACCTGGACTCATCAGTAAACAAGACCCGCCTTCGCTGCCTCAGTGGGAATATTCTTGGGGCATGTGCCGCAACCCAAGCAATACGACACTGGCGACGAGGAGCGACAAGGGGCAGAACTACAAACGAGTGACGTGTTCGCAGACCAACTTCCTGCGATCGTTTCCTTACAGTTTTTGCATGGATAGGACGGTTATGAGTACCTATGGTACGAAGGGAAGATTCAGTGGTAGTACGGTGCCGACCATGCAAATGCGCTAGATGACTAAACCTATCCTGAAGTTGTCACATCACGCTAGACTAGACCTAGATCTGTCAACAACCCGCCTAGTTTCCCTTACAAGACGTTCTTAAGTGCTAGTATTGACATCGAAATGTCAAGCAACCTGTATTTGCATTTAACCTTGCATAATCATCACAATGGCTTGACCCCTCTGAACTTCCGTCAGCCATGCTCTTGTTTAATGTTATCAGAAAAATTGTGTGTCTCCATGACTTCCTAATATTATGAGGAGCAGTGTAACTCAATGTCACAACACTGCTGTGCACGAGATTTTCCCGTTTCGTGCTTTCCCGGAAGACATCGTCATACAATACAATATTGCAACATTCTATACAGAATCACGTGCACTGTAACCTAGCGAGTTGCTTGATCGATTTTCATTGTTTTTGAACAACGCGTTCGCAAAATATTGTAAAGAATGTCATTCTGCGTTTCTTTATCTCTCAAGTATATATATTACATTTTAATTAGTTCGTTGTCAATACACTGATTAAATTTTACTTGATCGGTGGTTGTATTTTCTTTAGTAGACATTATAGCTTATATCAACGAATGTTTAAACAATTTGACTATACACACATGATGTGGAATACGAGAGATTCTACATCTTTTACAGTCCAAGTCGTCGTAGCAATATCTCCGAACACTAACTTGTGTTGTAAATACACATATATAGTGTCACTGGTAATGGTTTACATTTTTTTTTATTCAGTGGTTAAATCACATGACAGATGACGTCACTTTAAAATATGTATTGTAAAACTGATGATGTCATCACAAGAATGTGTTGTGCCGTTAGGTACTCACTGATGTCGTCAAAATGAATGCGATGTCGTCCATGCCAACTCGGGAGGATATGTCGTTTAGTGTGCCATCCGACACGGTTTCACCCTGCTTCAGGAATTCTGAATATTGACTGAAACTAGACATGTTTAGTAATAAATGAGATAATATCATTACTTCAGATCGATTGCATCAAAGGACAATTGAAATACCACGTGAACGTCCCATGCTGATGCAACAAACAACAAATCATATATGATATCGAAGACATTCTATTATAACTTCCTCCTTATTCCTATTTTCTATAACGTATACTGTTCATGAGACCTACTCGATCATGACCGTAATTCGATCTCTGTCCCTGTTTTTAATACATATTGTGTCATAAATATAGAAGAAATTAAAGGTCAACATATACCTGTGTTGGTTGTTCTTAGTGCAGATGATATCTTTAAGTGGTTTTGGCCTAAAGATAGAAAGTAAACAACACAAGTAGACATCACATTTTCACAAGATTTCTTCCTGGTATATATTGAGAAACATTTAACGATGATGAATGCAATCAATTACAGAAATGACCAACTTTACTTCCTGCTATATTGCACCAATCTCATTCAAACAACAACAAAATATATGCATGGTTTATCAATATGTGTGTTTATTTTTTTGTAAGTTTTCTTATGAAATGGATTATTTCTATTGATACTATATTCAAGTTTGTAAAATATTGTAGAGTTTAAACTTACAAGATAATTATATCAAACACAGGATAGGCGAAACCTGTGCGATAGTTTGTAGGCAGGACCTTTACCTTGAAATTTGTATAGTATATACATACAGTTTTCTATTGAAAACTTTACCTATCTGTTTCTGAAGACTTCCATATCTTCTCGAGCTCTTCATTGATGACAGGTAATACTTCCGGACCAACAAACAACACTGACGGTTTGACCTAGGGTTGTGGAAAAGAGGTTTTAAGCCAACATATTTTGGTATCACGACTACTTTTCTATTTGTTGGCTCTATATATATGTACTATGGCTCTGTCCGTATTAACCGACATGTCAAGTAAACTATATTTCCAACTCAAAATCGATAAAACTAGGACAGAAAAAAAACTCGGGATGGATATGCACGAATACCCTAAAAACTAGGCATATTCTGGTATAATGTAAGGGTAAATACATATTTCTTGATTAATGACAACCGCAAAGTGAATCATTATGTTCTCAAGTGCAAATTAGGTATATAAACAGAGCATTCAAAATCTCTGACATCATTTGAATTTGTGATGAGTAGAAAAGGAAAATGAATGATAAATTTCCGAGCTAGATCATAATATCAAAATCTATTTGATCATTAGACGTACGGAGGATAAAGATTTGAAAATTATTGCCATAGTCTATCAAACAGAAACTACGTAATACTGTAAATATACACAGATTCCGTTGTTGTTGATTGTAGTGTTATTTCAATAAAAATGATATCATCCTTTGGTAAATGAGCATTTTCATTTGTTAATTATTATGTTATCAACTCATAAAATGTCACGGTTGATTGGCCAAAGTACAGGTTAAGACAAGGGTCACTATAATTGTCAAAATTAAAAACTATTGTTATCTGTGATTAAAACATAGGGGAAAAATTTTTATGATCATTATTTTATAGTATTGATTAAAATTACAAAACAAGTGAAGCGAATTATTCGCATAAACCTCTAAACTCCGTATATTAGTGGCAAAAAACATAAAAATTAATTAAACTTGATCTTAAGTTAAATAAGGTAAGTTAGAAAAAAAATTCTAATTAATGTTGATTAAGTCATAATGAACCGATTTGTGTAGATTCATTGATGACAACATCTATACAACATTTATCAAATACTATATCACAAGGTTTATGATGTTTTACTTAAATTTGTTGATAAATCAAATATAATCAGTCTCACCTGCATTGCCTTTGGTAGGTATCTATCCAGTGGGTATCGCATGCAAGGCTGAAATTTTTAAAATGTTCAATCAGAGTTTAATCTGAAAGTCATCACACATCACGAACGCTGTATCATGGAACAGAAAAAAAACTGAATATATTACTGATCAAAATATGGGAAGTCGAAATCATACAGCTGATTGCTTCAATTAGGTAATGATATCATTTCAAGTATGTCTTGCCATGTGGTAATTTGATACATAGAGATATTGAAATTGTCTATCATCAATACTACCATTGTTTCCAACACCACTACCAACATTTGACATCCCACCTGGAAGAGCACCAGTCCAATGTACACCGCTGCATAGTACAACACTATACTTTCCATATCTGCCATTCCAGTAAGCATGACGACATCGCCCTTCTGTAAACCCATCGCGATCAAACCTTTCGCTGCAGCCCGAGTCTAAAACAGCAAATAGAGTATTTGTTCATATATATATATAAATTTAGAGTTTATGTTGAAAGTCTTTGAAGGAACCATGAGAAGATGGATTTAATATTTTAAATAGTATTAGGCATTTTACACTAAGACGAAAGTAAACTAAGCTGGAAATATTTGGTTTTTGTTACGACACGTCTCAAATTAGGGACGTATCAAGCCTGACATGTTGATGAAAGTGTCATTAGATACGTGATAATGAAACAATATTGTTGGAGAACATCGAATATGTTGAACTCTATACCACACAAGCATTAACCCAAATGAGGTGTTGATGGGATATATTCAACGTCTTATTCATGTTGAAGAACAGCACATCATACCGATATCAAATGAAACTTAATATGTGGTTTTGTCTCTCTCTCTCTCTCTCTCTCTCTCTCTCTCTCTCTCTCTCTCTCTCTCTCTCTCTCTCTCTCTCTCTCTCTCTCTCTCTCTCTCTCTCTCTCTCTCTCTCTAGTATTTCATATTTTATTTGACGTTTTACTGTAATTTATACAATATATATCTGATATACTTAAATCTTACCCTACGGAGGAGATCTCCAAGCGTTATTTCCTGGTTGTAATCTGGAACTTTGAAGATCACATGATTGGCTCCCTGATCCGCAGCTCTGTTTAACATCTGGCCTATTGTTTTGCCACTGAGAGGAGTGGGACATACACCATGGTAGTAGCTGTACTGTAAAGGAGATACAGCGGGGCGGCATTCTCTGCAACATCAGATACTGATAGAGTTAATAATATAAAGCAGGATCATATGATGTTTAATATAATGTTGATATCTAAACACCCAGACCTTAGATTAGGCTTAATTTTGTTCGATGGTGTTTAGAAAAATATACAATGACAACAACTCTAGAGGATAAATAGGAATGTCTTAGTCATCTAACGCACTTATACATAGTCTGATAAAAGACATTTTCAGAACTACGTGTGTTGTATCATTGTATAAAACCATGCTCAAAAAGGCATTCCAAAGGTCTTAAAAAGTTCGACTTTGACTATTTAAATGCCTCCTATTGATTTATGCCAAAGTATTTCATTAGATCATAAAGATTAAGTAATCAACAAATTGTTTTGGGCATGAAAATGTTTTATCTTATCTAACCATTGCACGTGTCACACCATCGACCAAACGCAGAAGCTTGCCACTCCTGAATGTTTCAAATTTCGGGCCTCGTGCGTCGACTTCATGAGGTTTGGCATTGTCATCCATGGATGGATTGGCATCAAATGGAGGACAAAAGGTCGAAAGATGTCATAGCACCTTGAACCTTTTCATAAAAAGCTAACTTGAGCATTGATTCAATTTCGACTTGTCATTTTGAATATAGTGATACTGCAAATGTTGGAGAAAAAAAGTAATAATTAAGTTGAACTTTTGTGTTGTTTTCAAAACGAGTGGCACCAAACAAGGCTAGGCGTATGACAATAATTACTTTCGAAGTGATAAGTTTCGAACCATTGTAGACCTTTTTCAATACGTTCACATGTGCATGGGGTCTATAATATCAATTATTTATGTATGGCGCTTATAAAACAATGATAGACGTAGCACAAAATTGCCAATATATGTTGAACACATCACCGACAATCATTACACATCTACCTAGGGTCGAAAAACAGCGAGAAAAAATCTATCAACATAATTATAATTCATAATACAATTCCATAAAACTAGAGTAAACTATAACCAGAAGAAGGAGATGAAAAAGGACAATGAGAATAAGACCGGGTGTTCCCGAAGAGTAAACGTCTTTTGCTTTATCGAAAACAGCCGCCGCCTACACCTTGATAAATCCAAATAATTTCATATTCTCAATTGATAATATGGTATACAATAACGGAACTAACTGGCAAAATAACGAGCATCAAACACGTCCAGGTTCACATCACTATGAAGTCACCATGGCGAACATAAAACTTCCTCAAAATTTTCATCAATCTGCATCTTTCGGAAACCTGTATTAGGAATTTGTCAGTTGACGACTTCATGGAAGAAAATTGTGATAATGGGAACAGGCCCTTGAATAACGAGTCAACTGTGATATAAATACCATAGGCTGGGGATGCAGAAATTTGCTATTCAGAAATGGAAAATTAACAATAAGGAAATTGAACTCATCACATTTATCTGGCACACTTGGTCTTCCTCTCTTTGTAATTGTAACATATGTGTGTGAATAAAGATTTGTTTTGTAGTTGTACTATAACAATGTTTTTAGGTATACACTCCTAGTAAATTTAATTTCTCAAATATTCGACATATCTAATTCCAAAATACATGTATTAAAGATTTTTGTTTAGTCCGGTAAGTAAAGTTATTTTCACTACACACATTTTGATATGATTTACTTTGGCGATTTTTGTTCTGACAAAAGTGCAAGTGTGTAGTCATCTATAAATGACTCGTATACACTAATCGAATCTTAAGAGTTTGTTTTATATTTGAAAACATCTTACAGATGGAATATATGGTATCTGCTATAGATACCACTTAGTTGCATTATTCTAATATGAATATTTTATCCTCATTAATGTACTATTTCCTACTAAAATTCTGAGCTGGTCATTCTAGAAAATAGATGATGAACATCATCTATGTACCTCTGATCCATATGTGTAATTGTACAGAGCTCGAATGAACCGGATGGCTGGTAGAAAATCTGTCCATATTGTTACGTTTTCGAGTATAGGATGTTGACAGTACACTATAGATTGTTGACAAAACACTCATTTCACTAAGATAAAAAAATTTGCCCTCATTCTTTTATCGCCATCATCACCACATCGAAACAATCTAAGCGATTGTCAATAGATTTAGACTATCTATTGTCTATAATTTAATTAATATTTGCTGAATATTCCAAATATTAAACTTACAAAATATTAAGTAACGCAAATTTATCCACTCTCTATTTCATTGGAAATTCTTCAGTTGTCTTTCATCCTTGACTCAAAATACAACTGTAGCGTGTACATTTCTTCTTAGTTTAACTGACGTTTCCATATTTTTTCTGTTTTTTTTTTTAAATTTACCTTTCGAAATAAATCTATGACATATATCCGATGTGTCAATCCAATATTGCCACAGCCATCTCAATTGTTTTTTTCTGCTGTTTGTGTACTCGGTGTATACCGTACATTATCTGTGTTCTCATTTACATATTCATTCGTGTATCCCCCATAGCATGATAAAAATAGCATTTAGCTACACTTAGTGCTGTTAAAATCGTATACTTTGTTTTCAATACAATTGAGTAGTGGACACATATTAACCGTACATACCTTGAGAAGTCCTTCAGTTTCACCTGTTGACCATCGTGTTGATTAACCTTATTAGACATAATGGTGTCCGTAATCCCCTCTGATTTCGTATGAGTGACTCGTAACCGTCTGCTGTGGTGATCTGTCTGCTGCAGTGTCAGTGTACGAAGGCCGATAACGGCATGACACATTTTACTTCGTGTATATCCGTATCTAAACGTATCTTACATATATTGTACAACATATATAATTATCTTTCCCAAGTTGTCGATTTCATTTTATTTCCTAATTGATGTGCGAATACAAGTGCATGAGTCGACCACTGAAATAAAGGCGATCACACCTAGATTTCCTCATGTATGTATGTGTGTGGGTTTGTGTTACAGTGAAGATACGCCACAAATATACGTGTGTTGGATTAGTTTGCCGGCCCCGATTATTCAATGACTGGTTAAAGTTTAGAGAAGAAATGAGACGGGTTAGATTGGCATCTTTTTAGTGTTGATTTGGCGTTTAATTGTCTTGGTTGGTAAGATAGAGCAATTTGATTTTTTCATTCCCCATTGATTAACTTTCGAGCAATCGGAGCCAGGACATTTTCGACTTATGTAAACTTGTAATGTGTGTATTTTGATAGACTGATTAATTTTCACGGTGTCATTGAGATTAAGCATGCTTTTAATGTGTGTATTTTGATAGACTGATTAATTTTCACAGTCTCATTGAGATTAAGCATGCTTTTAATGTGTGTATTTTGATAGACTGATTAATTTTCATAGTGTCATTGAGATTAAGCATGCTTTTAATGTGTGTATTTTGATAGACTGATTAATTTTCACAGTGTCATTGAGATTAAGCATGCTTTTAATGTGTGTATTTTGATAGACTGATTAATTTTCATAGTGTCATTGAGATTAAGCATGCTTTTAATGTGTGTATTTTGATAGACTGATTAATTTTCAGTGTCATTGAGATTAAGAATGCTTGTAATGTGTGTATTTTGATAGACTGATTAATTTTCACAGTGTCATTGAAATTAAACATGCTTGTAATGTGTGTATTAAGATAGACTGACTAATTTTCAAATCGTTATTGTGATTAAGCATGCTTGTGAGATATGTACTTTGATAGAGTGGTTAAAAGTATCATAAAAAAACGATTCAAACATGGAACAACTATTGGTGCGAAAGATGGCGGGAAATTAAGATAGTCTTATCGTTACGCTTCACAATAAAATTTAATATTATATCAGCCACCATTCTCATTATACTTTGTTCTCTGCTAGGAATCGTTGCCAAACTGTAATAAGCTAAGAATGTATTTAGTTGGACAAACCTCGAAAAGCTATACCACGAAAGGAATAGTCATATCAATACTAATGCTGATTAAAGATTTCTTTTGTAGTTTTTATCAAAATGACATTTACTATATTTTAATATGTACAACGAACACTGATTACAAACAAACAAAGATGTGCAGTATGGTTTTGCTTACCTTAATTGTGCGAGATGCATATCATCACATGTAAGAGTTTTTCTGAATGGTATTAAACTCTGGAACCCGTAAATTAAACGAAATATTCCAAATCCCGACCTGAATCCAACACCAACGCATTCTCGACTAAATATCACAACCATTTAAAAAGCAAAGATCCTTTTTCATGGAATCAAATTTTTTATTAATTCGTCGAGACACACCGTGACTAGTTGGTTCGGGTACGTTATTCTCATTCTTGATATTAGGTTTGTAAAGTTTCCATGGCCCATGTTTTATAATAAGGTGTTATAAATGAAACAAAGTCATGTTTTACCTTTAATGAATGGACGTTAAGTTACAAAAAGGGATTACGTTAATTTTCTATTCTATAGTTGTAAGGATATATATCCGTTGTATATGACAGCCTATTGACGAGACGTCTAATGAAAATGCTCTCGTGAATATGACACTTTATGATGGAAATGAACGGAATTCCTGGTATAATTGCATTCCCATTAACATAACAGTAGGAAGTGTCAAATAATATTGCTTGTCAATCGTAACTTGATGTTTTTGCAGAAGTTTCTCTTATATTACTCAACCATATCAAAAATGTTAATCATTTCAATACGATGTGTTTGGTTGAAACCAACGGTATGTAAATTTAATGAAATACTGGCATGATCCCCTATATGCAGACAGTCAAACAATGATTTTATATAGATATTAAGATAAGTAAAAACTTACTGTTTCTAAAATATTGGTAAATGTTCCGTCGGTTATTAGATTGGAAAAATACTGACAAGTGTTTTGTCTCTAACGTTTGTGTGAAATTTATCACATATGAGCAATTAGTTGATGTCAAATATAATTGTTCCAACAGTTTATAATATCGGTCAGTAATTTCTACCAGCCGCCATATGTTGTGTTTTCCCTGGGGTATCACCAGAACGGAACGCGCGCAATGTTAATTTTCACAGCTGGATGTCTACATTTGCTTAATGTATTTTCTCTAGTTTTTCTACTTTCTTCAAACCATGTACGAGAAATCTGTGCCGCTATACTAAGGAAGCTTCTATTTTTCAATAAACAAATTGTTTTATTATTTTTACAACAATATTTTCCAACATGCTTGCCAAAGGTAGGAAGAACAGTCTGTGTTTACTCAGAACTGGTTTGTACTGCCTGGTTTATGTCGAGAGATGGTCGACTTCATCAGGCCCGATTGATAAAAATCTGTGAGCTTTAAAATTGAAATGCTTATAACTTAGATAAATAAGATTTATCATAAAGATATATTTACAATGTATCAGGTAATTACATTATGTATGAAAAACTTAGAAGATTTCGATTATATAAACACCTAAGCCAAGAATTAATATTTTCTGTTATGACAAGGCAAGTAAACAATACTTTCGACAGCGAGACATTTGTTTGTATTATCTTGATGAAACCTAAACAAGCACTCTGTATATTTACAGGTCCTATTCGTCCTCGGCCTAGTAAGATAATGACTATCATGTTACCAATTATATTTACATGTCATTACACTTATCCCATACAAACAAAAATCACATAAGTTTGATGTGAAGATATCGTTAACTGCAGGTATATTTTCATAAATTATTAAGTTGATAAGGATCTGCTAACGGTATACTGGCCGCCAGATCAGCGATGGAACAGTCTGGATAAAACTAAGTCACATGATCACATCTCGATACCTGATGCTTTTTTGGTCTAGCAGTACATTCACTTGGTATCTCAAATTAATGTAATTTGGATTGCTCATTGATGACCAAATTATATTATGCTTGTTTTCACACCATTATAAGATTCGATGACATGGATTTATAGGTAATTATACATGCCGTGAGGAAACATTGGTGGACGACCTGCTCGATACTCTATGTTGCTAGCTCATTTGAGTTCATGTTTAATAATATTTACACCATGTGTCCCATTGAGGTCCACGTACAAACGTTGACATGGAGATTTTGGTTGGATTAATTGTTGTGTTATCCTTTCATGCTGGGATTTGTGGAGAAAAGAACGGTAAGTGAACAGCACTGTTTATGTTCGGTCCACTCTCATATTGATTTGTAGCTAATCACCGTCCTCCTTAAACGAAAATCAAAGTACCTGCAATGGAATATCTATTTGGAGTACAAACAAAGCGACTGTTCATTAAGATCATATATGGCCAACCATTTTGTATGCCTCTAGCCTCTAATTTTAATTGTTTTCCGACACTGTATCATTTGTCTCTGTGTTGATAGTCATTGATATTGAAGTAAAAATATCCCAAGGCAATTATAATTAATAATAAAAATTATCTAAAGTAAACGGGATGTCCGCAGGAAGGCCTCATTACCTACTATGAATTTAGTGAGTACTTCTTTTTCACACAAAGATAATAACCAACCAAAATACCATTTTTATACGTACAATGTTGGTAAAACAATCACGTAATTAATCTTACCATTTGGACTGATTCTTGAACAATGACTTTTCTTTCATTAAAAAGTATTTATCAAAATGGACAATTTTCTACCAAGCTATATGATAAGCATAATTATCTCAATTCCTCTATTGTGAGTTTTCCAGCAGCATCCCAAAACTATGGTGTTTACATGACACAGTTCATTCCATATTCAAGAGCCTGCTCCCAAAATCACGATTTTCTTCCAAGAGGTCGTCATCTTACGGAGAAGCTCGTAATACATGGTCAATGGGGACGTTTTGCGGTCGTCAAAGAGATCTCATTTTAAAATTTTTCTTTGTCCGATATGAAGCTGGACGTGTTTGATGCCTGTTGGGTCCTTTGTTGTAGACATTGTTTTCATTTGAGAACGTTTCATTACTAACTTGAATTGACCAAGATTTACATGGCGAGAGTCGTCGATGAAGCATGAGATGCTAACTCCTCTGAAACATCTGGTCGCAGTATCCTTGTACTTTTTCATGAGTATAAGTGTAAATCTTTCATTTGTTCATATCTTGTTTTAGGTAAATTAAATTCGAGTTTCGATTATGATGATGTTGCCATATTGGCATTTTCTTGTTGTATTTGTTGAAGAATTAAGACTTCATTTGCGAAATTGCAACATTATTATCATAAACTGCCCTCAAGATGCAGTATTTCAATGAATGCAGTTACCCGATACATTCGTAATTACCAAAGAAGTATTGTATACTGAAATATTTTCGCCCGCGACCATTTACTCCCATTGTACCATTTCATACGAATGTTTTCAACTTTCTTCCAATCTGAAATTCACCCTCCTTATTCATGGACGAAAAAGGGCGAAGAGTTTCCGGTTAACAGTATATATGACATTTTATCACAATTCAAAATAAATACAACCTTCATATAAGAAAAATGAAAACTCTAATCTATGAATCGATGGCCCTTTGATTCCATTCCGGTTTCATTATCTGAACGGCATGATATTTGAAATCCAGTTTTAACGAATAGTTTGCTTTGTCGGTCATGTCATACCTCTGCAGAAAAACAACAGTTCGTTAACATCATGGCAGTAAAAATCAGACTTAGAGTGGAATGAAGACAATTCACCTTAAAAAGTAGCTCATTGAATAATGTCCTGAAGAATGGAAAGTGTCTTCGGCTTCATGACACCCAAAATGTAAAAAGTAGGTCGATCTATGGATCTATGTGATTCTCAGATGAAGTCTGTCAAATATGTACTGTCGAGGAGCAGACAGCTGCTTTGTATCCAGTGATGTTTAACAAAGTAGAATCAAAGCAGTTTTGGATATCATATGTTGAAGAGCCTTAGTGCAGCTTTAAATGTTTCATTAATCTTTTGTTTGAAAGTTACATTTGTAGTATCTATGACTTTGTTTTTAATAGACTAGATCTGAAGCCATTTTCCAACATTGTAATGTCCATTGTGGGAAACGTAATAGCATTATTTTCGTGTAGATTTTTAAATAGTTTTACAGATATTGCCGTTAATTTATTCAATCCGTGTGGAAGCTTTTAACTGTTCACGACTGAATACATCGGATAATTGAATCCATGTTCGCTTTTATTTATTACCCACGTATGATTTCACCATGGATAAAAGGCGTTTCTGACCAAGTCAGATGAATAGAAAAATATTCTGACTTGGATGGGTTTTGGCACTCCTTCAAATATCATTTTAACGATACACGATATTGCAGTTTATTTCTTCAATTAGCTTTTTCATTTTTCTCGCGATATATTTAGTCTAAAATTTATATCCATAATATTGCAGTTCCATTGCCGGTCAAAAAGTTTGAATTGGTTCATGTGACATTGAAAAAGAGATTTTTCCCACTGCATGGATGGCTTTTTGATAGAATGGGAATGTTTAGGATTGTAGCTTAAGCGAATCGATGAAATATTTAGTTCACCTTTAAAAAGACCATACATGTAATGTTGTCGACAATTATAGGGTGATGAGTTGGCAAAAGATATATGTTTCATAATTAGTGTACTTGTTGGCATTTCATATCTATTTATATCTGTAGTTCTAATTTTAAAAATGGCTCGAAGTCCCGATTACTTCAGCAGCAAAATGAACAGAAGCCACGATACAGTGTCACAGAGAAAATTGTACAACGTATTTTGTGATAAATGCAGCGTAGATGGTACAGTGTGAAAAATGATTTTTAAAAATCCAAAGCGTTACATTAAAATAATTGTTTCTAACATGTTATCAATAACGTTTATCAACCCTACAGTTTGCTGTTCTTTCATCAAAATGCTCATGCTGCTATGACAAAAAATAATTTGAAATCAGACAGCAGTGGCCCTAAACAAGCAGCCAATGATAGATTAAATATAAAAAGATTATTCTACTGTTGGTTTACAGTGAGGATGACTGAGGACGAGAAACTAGAAGTAATAGAAGAGCGATTATTCAAACATGTGTTACAAGAATACCCAGAATTCGCTACAGTGACCGGATGTGGCCTATATGATCACAATCTGACAGCTTACACACTGGAGGCATTCACGAGGAGGAAGGTTAAACTTTCGCTTTTTATTAAGTTGCTTGAACTGATACACTTTTCCTTAAGTTACCGCTATATAATAATATCGTTCAGTTTGCACTTTCTTTCATTTTCGGAAAACTATACAAAGGAAGTACTGTTGTCAATATGTAAGCTGAAACTGTCGTAAAATTTGAATAAAAATACTAAATGTCATTAATTGAAAAAAAAATCGTCAATTAATCAAGTGGTAAAACTAATACGTTTCCAGGCAACGAATTTAAACTAAAAAAGTAAATCCATGTAATGATTTCAGAATTTTGATTACTGTAAACTAGGATATTCTCGCCCAGACTATTTTCTATATATCATTACAAACGAATTTACTTCATGTTCATTTCGCCCTCTGAAGATTATATAAAATGGTGATATAATTCTAACAAATTTTCGCTCCCATCTTAAATTCGTCTTCCCTGTTCATACAGATATAACAACCTTGATTTACTTGATGCTCTGAATAGGTTGCTAATGAAGACATGGTGTCTGACCTCCATTCCCTCACTCTACACAAGCTTTCCAGACCTCATAGGATGAGATACAAGATCCTTTTGGACCACTTACAAACTTTCTTGGCGGGTTACAGGTGGCGAGAGTATGTTGGCTCTTAACATATAATTAGTGTACACATTTACAATTAAGATTTCTACTGGATTTGAATGTTTTTAAAAATGCAATAAATGAACTACAATGTCAATTAGAATGGCATTCAGAGTGACAGAATGACAAAAGAATTATTAACGAATAATGTTTTACACCAGATTGAAACATTGTATTTCTTAATTTCAATCACAAAACGCTATTCACATGACTTTTGTGACAATTCGCTGAAGTGCGTAAGTGCTTTTTGGTTAGTTTTCTTCAACGTCCAGATCAACCCTAGTCGGCCCTGTAAGTGTACCAATACATTCTTAAACTATCAATGTATGTTGCAGATTGACACATCGACATGACCATATACAAGTATATTGTAATGACCAATTTCTTTTTATACCTTTGTAACGTAATTATTCCTAAATTTGACTAGTGAAAACTATATTTTAACAAATGAAAAGAGGAGCATAACTGAATTTAGCAATGGATAAATTTTTAACACAAAGTATTTTTAAATGGAAACATCTGGTTGTTTAAACAATATCCATCAGACAAACAATGTATATTTTCCGGCTACTTAGGAGGTAATTCACGAAATTTTTCCTGGTCTGAAAATTGTACATGGTGTACCGTGAACCCTGCAACATTCATATTTAGACGGCCAACTTTGATCTGTGGTAATGTAACGTTTTGAGGAACACCAGACACACTGATGTTAAAACTTAACTAGGATGTACGTGCCAAGCACCTGCTGGTGTCTCGGCGAGATCGGAATAACGAACTTATGAAGTATAGGTAAACAAACAAGACAAAACGGCAGAATATTTGCCATTATTTTACAATAGAGAAAAAACAACATATAATTAACCAGTGCAAATTAGTATATGTTCATGTTAATTTCCTTTCCAAGCACATAATATTTTCTTGTTATATGCGTTACAATTACCACTTTCCTTTTCTGTGGATTGACACGCTCTCATTTCAGATTTGGAAGTCTCAACCCAATAAATGTTATGGAATCTTTATATTCGAAAAGTAGCAGTTGGTTTTTGCCGAAGGAAGACTTGCAGAAACATTTCAAACGATATAGAGGACGATTCATGAGTTATCCAAAACAGGTAATGTGTAACGAAATAGTATGTTTTATAGTAAGGGTTGCATGGTAAAATGCATTCGGAAATATTATGAAACACACTTTGATTTTGATAGAAAGGAAATTTAATATTGAATATTCTATCACAAACAAGAATGATATCTGATATATATGCAACCATAAGGTGAATATTTTGCTTAACGATTTTATTATCATATATATGTATTCATATATGCTAGTATATTATGTTATAATTTACGGTTCATATTCGTATGCAGACCAAAGTTCTACAAGATGAAGGAACGGTTAACAAATCAAAATTTATCTGTTGCAAAGTAATCTTATTTTTTTAAGTGGAAATATTATTTTAATGAATATGTTTAATCCTCCGAGTGTTATTACGATCAGTTTTTGCTTACTAAAGATGAATAGTGGAGTACTTTTGGTTTTCTATAGAAATATAAAGATCAATTATATGGCAATTTGTAGTTGCAGAATAATGCTTGCAATCTTATTGCAATATAAAGAACATGCAATATATTGTTGTATACGTCATTCATTTCCAACACAACAAATATTAACTATGTAAAATGATAACATAAATGGCTGGCCAGTATAGTTTTCCATGATAATCTATAATTAAGTGACTACGTGTGTAACCTTTCATATTTCTACTCACTAATGTGGTTATTCGTATTGTTATTTATGGAGGTCTACTGAAAATTCAAGATAATGTATGTGTTTCTGATGTTGTATCAGTAAAGATAACACTACATTACTAATGTCTGATTTCAACAGAATGGTACACGTGAATTAATAAAAACATAGATCTTTCTATCTCTAGGGGCTTTTCCTTGCCACCATTTTCGCTGATCGCAAAATATATATCAGTTAGTAATTGTAATTGAAAGCCATCGTCCGCTTCACGACCTATATGGCATATGATAACAGCATCCTTTTCAGTATCATAGGCCATGTATATGATCTACAGGTTTTAAAACATTTACGGTACTTAAGCTATTATCTTAACTCTAATAAACACTGCAGGAGCTACATAGTGTTAACCGCTTACAACTGAGTCTATACAGGCATATTTTCATTTTAAGTCCCATGTAGGGGTTCATGACGTTATTCACATTTTCACTCTCTACTACCTTTATCTTACCTTAAACCAATTTTCGTCCAGAAACATTCAGTGCAACGATAACATAACATACATGTAACAACAGCTCTTAACTGCAGCAAGGTTATTTTCTACTTATAACCAGAGATAATGTATATCTGAATCATTTAAAATCATAATGATTTGTATCAAAAAGATTCACTTTTTTTCCTTTGTACAATCTTTGATATTGTAGGTGGTGGACACAGCTTTTGGATTTTCAGTACTCGAGATTTGCCAGAAACTTCAACACTCATGCCACGTTTTAATTTATTCGAATATTGGTAGAATAAACAGATATCCTTAACGTTGTTATAAATTATTTGGTATATGAAAATAACGAAATATATTGGATATTGGGCTAATGCATCTCCCCATTTGATTTTTTTTTTTTTTTTTCGATTACTTTTGATTTACTCAGTCGCCTGTACGCTTCAAGATTTAGGTCCATTGCATCGCTGAAGAGTTCAATAAGGACGAACTGCTGTACAGTCAATTTCTTTGATTCTACTGCATCTAATCTAAATTTATTTGTGTTAGAAAGGTCTATTCATTTGTCTCTTTTCTATCTTTTCTACATGCTTAGACTTTTGAATAATTTTTTTAAATCTTAAGATTAAATTACGCTTTTACTTTTTTAATTATGACGTCACAGAATGATAATCAATATCCATTTCATCATTTAGTGACTTCGTCAATATACATACATGTGTTTGTATATGTTCACCTCGACAATGTTACAAATATTTACGCGAAAAAGCCACGCTTCTTTAATATTTTGAAGCTTCTGTATAGAAAAAGGAAGTAAGGAAAAGTGCCCAAAAACGCCCACTAAACACTACAACCATGGAACTGTTGGCTACATCAGTTGATTAATATCTAATATATCAGTAGTTACTCATGTTAAAACTTCTAAAATGTCTAGCTACAAAACAAAAAGCTTCATCAATTTAAAAAGATTTTAAAAGATTTTCCCACATAAAAACCAGTTATGAAATAGATACTCATTTTAACTATTTCAATCAAACCGTTTACATGTGTACTATCGTATTATCACAATCTTACAATTGTTTTCAATCTATTGTTGTAAAGGCGAGAGAGCTAATCAATCTGATGAAGAGAGCCATACACTTGAATCGAACCAACCATATATACGCCATGGTAAGCGTGATAGTTTCTTAATTGATTATCTTTGATATCATCGACGTGACCTACTGTTGTTTAAATGTTGAAATATACAGATATATATAACCTGCTTCTTATACCTCTATCGAGCGCCATTCAGAAGCAACATTCTAGCTATTGATCAAACTATACATATGTGTAAAGTTCGTTTGCAAGAATACCTCATAATCGTTCTTATTAATAAATACTCATTTTTCAATCCAGAAACGTCACCTTAGCAACATTATTTCTATGGTATTTTGAAATAAGAATACTGCAAATGTCAGGTATGAGATATTTTGAATGAGGTTGTGTTTGTATATACTGTACTTTCTTATATATCGTTGTACTATCAGTTGTAAAAATGATGCTTTATATAGCCTTTTATAGACATTTGGGGACTAAATGATTAATGACTTGGTTTGGTTGATAACATCAACGTTTTCTGTCAGCAATGTCCGTAATTATAACTCCGGAAGTCTTGGGAAGATTTTATTTTTAGAACGTTTGCATAAACCATTATCACAAAGCACTGGTTATCAATTCTTACCTGATTGCTAAATTTCTTGAACATAGAACAAAAATGCATTTCGGTAAAAATTAATTTTCTTAAAGAAATATATGTAAACAGTAAAAGTATTCGGAACCTGTATCGGAAAAATAAAGTTCATTAACATACAGGTTTTTGCTTTTGAATTATCTGTCTATATCTTAATACTAAAATTAAAGAACAAAAACAAAACAAATAGATATTGTTTTCTTTTTAATGTAAACAAAAGAAAAGAAACGAGATATATTCCAATTTTGCGATATATTGACGTTGCAATCTTACAAACCCCCGAGCAAGTGCTGTACATTTTACTCAAAAATATTAACTAGCCTAAGTTGGGTGCCACGAAACATCACTTAGAGCAGAAAAGTAAATATTATCAATGAATGGTAATTCTAGTGAGAAATATCGACAGTATGGTTCTATGTTGGTACTGAATCAGGAAAAGATATATTATCAATGAAGTAATAACGACAGTACGGACAAGGGAATTGTCACATTGACGAGGCAACGTGCAGGTTTATCATGTAAATGAAGTATTTGTTTTATGTTCTGTGTATGTTATGTAATTTAGTAATATTTGTATCTTGATAAAGGGGTAGGTTGCCCCGAAAATTTAACAATTCACTTGCCCGTACTGTCGTTATTACTTTATTGATCCTATATCTATTCCAGTAATACGCATCCAACAAACATTTGATTGTTAGGATTCAGTACCAATATTAAACCATATAAATAGTTCAATTAGAAGAGAACATTGTGTATCGTTTAAATATGTAAACATAAACATATAATATATATATATATAATAAGAGTGATACGCGGGCTTATGAACGAAATAATATATGGCTAGGTGGAAAAAGAAATGGACGTGGTCACTAACTTTAACTGACCAATCAGTGACCAGCACCCGCCACGGGAACACATCTGAACTTCCCTTCGCAATGTCTTCTACATTTAAGTTAATTTCATCTCCTACATGTTTAACGTACGAAATTTGGCACCATTCTTACCAAAGTAAGAATAACGACACATTTGATGAAATAGACCTAAATTCATATAGCGGGATTCGTTGTTGAAGCAGGTCATGTGTGCAAGTCCGGAGCACCCTATTTTATAATCAAATCCTCATTTCTCGGTGCTTGAAGCTCCGTAATCATTATGTAACTATATATAGCTTTATCGATCTCTAGTTCAAAAAACGCATTTGAAATAAATTGTAATTGTGTTTTTTTCATTCCCACATCTAGGGACGTACGCAAGAAATGAAGGAGTGGTTCGAAAGCATGATGGTGTTATTCAGGAATCATGAAAGATTCTTTGTTATGTGAGATATATCATGCAACATCTAATATTGTATTACGATAATCAATTATATTTACTGATCATTGATATACGATCCTATTTAGCAGTTTGACAAAGGTTGAAAGTAAGCATCGTTACATAGCGAAATAAATCAATATTTAAAAACAACTATTAATGCATTTTATGTGTTTAACTTAAGTCCTAGATACAGATATGTTGGCGAAATAGCGTAAATGTTGTATTCATATGTTTGTATTACTTATATGGCAATAGCTTTGATGTTTTATATTGTAGACCGCCTGTGGAACTAAATGAAATTTTTCAACTGTTAAAACAGCTTCAGGACACTATAGACGGAGTTCAAATTTTCCTACTGAATGTAAGAAATGACTAATTGTGTCAGCATTTCTGGAAACCAATATTTTATGAAGTAGTTATTGGACTTCTCTTTCCATCCAATGTACATACATTTAAAAGGATGCTTACTAAAACGAAGTGAAAACTGTTTAAAATGTTTAAACCTCTTTGAGAATTTAAGTGATTATCAACAATATGTGCTAAACCTTTCTGTTCATTGTATAACCAAATAGGAAACTATTCAATAATACTTTCAATTATGACATCCATAACGTTAGCAGTACTGGATTGTCTACACCGTTATAATACTTTGTATTCCTCGCACAGATGAATGTCGCCAATATGTTTTCTTACTGTCAGTATTTTCGTAAGGGAATGAGATGAATCAGTTAAATTGTGGTTATAGCTCCATGAATGCTGTATATCGGTTATTTAATGAGTATGCCCTTTAAAATGACTGATAGTCATTTCGTTAATTGATGATCATAGTATTACAAAAAACAGAAATGAAGGGTTTGCGATAAAGAGGAATGTATGACCAAAATTTGAATATTACACCGTGAATTTGTGTTTGCATTTTGTGGCCGAAATGTTTCAAATCAAATTAGCAATAGAATGAAAGAATTTAACATTAAAAACCAAAAACTTGCATTTCCCATGTGTATTATAAAAAAATGGCAGAAGTCAATCCAAGAAGTTTTGTATATGCAGTTAACTAAACAGTAACAGATTTGTCATTGCAACGTTTTCCTCGTCATGGTGCATTTAGGAATACCTTCCAAACACGCGTGCTGAACCAGGTGTGTCGTCATTACCGGAAGGGCAGGATTACTACGAGGCCTGCATCAAATATCATACAGGATTGTCATTAACAGCTGCTCAAGTGCATTCAATTGGACGGAAAGAAATGAATCGGATTCGTCTTGCGATGCAAGAGGTAATAACAAATTTCTTTAATTATGGGACTGCTGCACCTTCTCGTCTAGATATTGACATTTCTTTTGATCAGTTAGAATTTTTCTAAGTCTAGGCTTCAAAATGTAGGCCATTAGCATCACTAACGAGTCCAAGAAGGACGAAATAGCTGTATTGATGCAGTTTAACTCATTGATTGGCTCTACTGTATCGTACTGTAAATTATGAAAAGTTGCTATTCACTTGCCTGTCTTTCGTACAATCTCATCTACAACATATTGTAACTGCAAAATATTCTATTACCCATACTGCGGTAACAGCTGATATTCTCATGTTCTCCGAATCAATCAGTTGCCCTCTCGCTTACAGTACTTAGTTTAACTTTTATAAAAGAAGTGGAACGAGGTGTTCTCAAATATAAGGTTGATAAGGTCTATGATTTAATGAGAAGGGACAAATGGAGTAAAAGTTTCCAGAAGGCCATTGTGAGAAAAAACATGAAAAAACGGAACCTGTTGTTTTTGCTGGTATACGGCTGTGGGAACATACTCTGGTCCAAATGCTGCATGTCTATGATTAGTCTGTTATACTTTAACGTAATGTTTTCATTTCAAATGACAACTTTCATAGACCAAAGGGTGCTTTTCCGACTCCTTTTTTTTTTTTTTTAGTTGGGAACGTGTGTGGGGGGTCGTGTGTACAGTGGGAATTTGAACTGTTGAATTATATTCTACTTTCTGTCAAACATCAGAGTAGTTTATCCTAAGTCAGGACATGTACCTATTGCTCAGCAGTTTTGTTGAGAAGAGAATATCCAGGATTTTGTAGAAACGATATATTTAGATATTAGAGACATACCTTTTACGTCTTTCTTTCGTTTCACAGGTGATGGATAGAGTGGAGTTCAATGGAACGTTAACGGAATTCTTTAATCATTTGAAAACTGTTCCAGGGCTCTACAATCTCACCAAGGTAGAGATATTTCATTATTTACTATTGATTGTATATATTCCTTTGTCTATTTTACAACGATACCGACTTATTGTTCTATCAAATCTTTAGAATTACATGTATTTCGATTTACCAACTTTGAAATGGTTACATCTGAAACCGTTTTCTTTATGTAGAGAGATTACGTGTTTCTATTTTTCTTTTTAAATTATCAGTATATAATGTATAACATTACCATTATGATAAAAAGCTGTTGTTCTCTATGCGAAATCTGTTAATCTGCAAACGTCCACTTAATATTATCTTGCGTAATTACACTTGTAAATCATTCAGTTGTATAACATCGTGTTAGTCTCTAAGTATCGCGTGAAGAAAACAAGTTCTTCAATGTTAACACCAGGTAATGTTATGTAGATCAGTATTATTTATATATATGTCTCCGTTTGATACCATGTGAGAATATCATGTACTTTTTTTTTTTTTTTTTTTTCTTATTCAGGAACTGGTACTTGTAAAATGCATACAGACATCATCAATGTCGTAAAGTCATAAACTGCTTTAGTGGGATTTAAATTTACTGTAATTTCCCGTGTAGTGTTAATCTGCGAGTTCGAACGTCTGAAATATTGCCATAAATAGGATCTTGAAAGAACTATCCATCTATCACATTAAGTGAAAACAATAGTTTTTTAATCATAGATTTAGTCTTTTCAGAATAAGTTATTTCAGAGTACACAGTTGGTCTCTTACGAATTTTTGCCATGATATCTATAACTATATTTTTGCTGATATTTATAACTATGAGATATTCATGAATACAAATCCGGTGAAAAATGAATAAAGAACAAACTGTTAAAAGGTGTTTTACACAACGACACTTACAATTAGTAGGTGTCGTAGACGACAAAGACATTTTCTTATTCTGTTACATTTTCTGAGGTCTCTTGTTCACAATATGCCCTGGTTTCATCGATGTCGGAAATATAGTTTAAAATCTACATTCTACAGCATTTGGTAGAGTCATTTTTGTAGCATAAAATTGATTCTCATGAAAGTAGCTTTGTCTTTAGCATTGTTGCAATAACCAACTAATGAGTTTCCACTTCGACGCTAGTGACACCAAGCCTTTTATAAACAATGACTATTGTATTTCCCATTTTGCATATCTTCCAGGCGATTTCACAAATTTCTTTAAAACTCTTGATGCTTGTTTCACGAGTTAAATTCAAAATAAGTGTTTGGGTCAAGCTTGCAACTGATTTTAATCATATTTTGATTTTTTACAGGAGGAACTAATCTCAGAAAGTGAGCATAACATCCACGAGCTGATTGAACCCCGACTATGGTCCATATTCAAAAATATAGAGCATGTTCCTGTCAGGTAGGTAAAGAAAACACATTGATTATGGTGTCGAAACGTTTAGTCTTTTTCCATGGCAAATATAATGGTGATTTTATATTTTAGTTGTAATTACAAAGAATAGGGACAAGCTGGCACTATATTTATATTTTTTTTCTAGAGTTGAAGGAACACGATTAGCGAGATTTCCATGGGGAGGATACAATAATGGTACTTTTGGAGTGAATATTTGGATGGCAGAAAAAAAGTGAGTGACTTTTACTTTTCATTATTTTGGTTCGTAATGTAGCTACTAATCATAAAAACCCAAATGTACTGTGTCACGTACGGGTAAAAATATCAGTCCCGACAACATATATTCTGTATCGCTGTTGCATTAATCAGTGAACATTCCTCATAGGCATTGGGACTAGGCTAGAGTAAAGTGTGGATAATGATTGCCTACGTACACAAACGGTATCCGTAGTCAGCAGATTTTATTAAATACGTTCCAGTTTGTATCGTACAAAGTCTTCTTTACTTTTTCTAGGCCAGCATTTATCATGATGCCACTTTCCCTTCATGAAGCTGATCCAGGTCACCATTTCCAGGTAAATATGTTGAAAACACTACATAGAAAAAAGAACAAAAACAAGAAACAAGAACACATAAATTACTGAAAAGCTATAACGCCAATTTAGTATGTTATTTGATGTCAGTAAACCCATAACTGAGAGAAAAGTTAATTTGAAATATGCAGGTTACAGACTTGATAAAATTTCCATTCAATGTATCTGTACAATAATTATTTCAATTTCAACAATTTTTTTTTATGTCAATAGGATTGAACAACAGGTTATGCCTATGTAAGTCCTTTCCAAACTTAGTACATGAATACCATACGTAAGCTTCATAACAATAAATAGGTTAAAGTAGGTAAAGGCAGGTAACTCAATTTGTTATAAATATAAAGTAGTTATCAAATGAATATAGTTGAAGTATGCTATGAGCACTTTATCATTATTATGTAAATAATACAGATTTGTTGATAATTTATCATACACATAAAGCCTGGCGTACAGGTCTATAATATCCTTGTGTATACACAGCTTGACGAACGATCTACCTTATGGATATGCATAATGATTTATCAACAACTTTGTAAATAATTGTATGGTTAATCAAAATTTAGTTTTTGAAGATGTAAATTATATCGTTTTTCCTATATTGGGTTTGGTCCTCTTAACACAAAATATATAATAAGTTAATTACACACATATCATAACTGTTAAATATTCCACAATATCCATCCAGTTCAGTTTATATAAAATGTAGAAATGTACTCTTCATACTGATTGTTAACATCAGCTTAAATTTTGTTTTACCACTGAATTTAAACTAAAGTATTTGAGGAAAGTGACACATTAAATATCTTGGTTTTATGTATGTACTCAGTTATGCTAAGGAGGATAGCTTTATTGGTACACGTGTTAAATATTACAAACCCATCCAGAAGAGTTTTAAGTTTAAATGGTCGTGATCTACTGTTATACCTATCTGTGGTTTGCTATGATTTAATTGTTTTCTAGAGTCATCATATAGTGGACATTCAAAATATAGTAATGCACATTTTAAGTTTCTGTTATATCAATAACACTTGGTTTACTTTTTTTAAAAGTGTTTTAAGGAGTTGATATTTAATATATCGGCACTGAGTAAATTAAATTCCCTTAGAGTTTAATGCGAAAAATGATTATTCAAACAACTTAAAACTTAAGGTAAGGAAACGGGTTAATATAATTGTAAATAGTAAGTTAACATGCCTTACATGTTATATATAAAGATGTATAGATAAATAAGATAATTAACAAACTATAGTTATATATTAGGATTATGGAAATATTATTACGAATAAATTCAAAAGGCGAATTACAAGAGAGGTATAGTATGTCAACATCTTTCTTATCTTAACATAGCGATGACTTTGAATGCCGGCACTGTTTTGAACTACATATTTTAATATAATGATATTTGTTGTCTTTTCGTTTGAGCAACCGAATGCATATTGTTGTGAGAATTATATATTCAACTTATTGATATATATGATTCAGTTTAAAGCATTATTTGGGTCAAATATTTCTAAAACTGTGTATCAGTTTGTTATTTTTCTTTGTGTATGTTCCTTACGTGTAGGATATTTACCCGAATGTTCCTGACCTACCGATGTATCGACGCTGGATTAAATTCGGAGAATGGCACGCAGTTCCGTTTATGTATCCTTCTTATACAGCATACATAGAGGTAAATTGACTTGAGTTGGGTTGAGTAACATCTTGCAGAAAAAAACAAATAAATGACATTCTATAACAGACACAGTGATATGACATTCTAAAATAGAAACATGATATTCTACAACAGAAACAAAGACAAGACATTCTTAAACAGAAAACAAAGACATGATATTCTAAAACAGAAACAAAGACAAAACATTTTAAAACAGAAACAAAGACAAGACATTCTACAACAGAAACAAAGACATGACATTCTACAATATAAACAAACACCATACGACGTTCTAAAACAGGAACAAAGACATGACATTCTACAACAGGAACAAAGACATGACATTCTTAAACAGAAACAAAGACAAGACATTCTACAACATAAACAAAGGCATGACAGTTTTAAGAATATACACATGCGCAGAAAGTGACGGTACGTCTTGTATTACCAAATGACCAAATGTGTCTGTGGACGCAATCGGAATTCAAAAAGAAGTAAAAAAAATATTGAACAAATTTGATGTAATTCATGGAGTATAATTCTTTTGTTTGGTCTGGTTGTAGGGCTGGGCTCTATACAGTGAATACTTGGGAGAGGAGATGGGACTTTACAACGATACATATGATCTGTAAGTATTACCTAGATGTCCGTGGAAATGTGCCAATAGGGGATCACTCAATATACAGTATATATATATATAGACATGTTCATTATATGAATAATATTCTCTTGATGATTTTAAAATCATTATTACATTGTTTTACTTAATATTTAACACAAATATGCCCTTTTGTTTCAGAATAGGTACACTTGTACGTTTAAATAAAACAAATCATAGTGGAAATCAGCTGTAACATGTTTGCCTATCGCAAATTTGATCTGCTCTGCTGTAAATACGTACATGTCAAGTTGGTCATGTCATATTTAAAACTTAACCATGTGTTTACTATGTCTAAACCCTGCAGTGATATCAGATTAATATCAATATCATATGATCAGGCACTCTAGTATATTACAGCCTTACCTATTGAAGCTATGTTGTCCTTACAGGTTCGGACGGTATGTGTTCGAGATGTTTCGAGCCAGTCGGATGGTTGTGGATACCGGTATACATGCGTATGGGTAATATTGTTTGTTACTATCAACAGATCAGTCTTAACTGCTTTCACTTTCTCTTTATCCTGCCATTCAATAACCACCATTATTATAATAATACATAATTATGTATTAGTTTCATCGCATTTGAAGGTTGAATTAAGATTCATTCACATTTCCGTCACTTTTACACAAATGACATTTTGTTTCGGATTACAGATCAGTGATAAAGAAATGGATGTTTAGCGTTTATATTGGATCCTTGATATAAAAACGATACAGACAATGCAATTTGATGCGTCTTTTCCGAATTATTCCGTTACATAAGCTTTCTGATAACATTTGTATTGTGTTAGTTCAGAAGTGGTATATGTAAAATCTAAATATTTGAAAATTATTGATGTTGTTGAACTCCGCCCCTAATAAAGAATTACAATGGTTGTGAACTATATCGGAGCAGATTTTGTACTAAGTCTATAGCAAGATGAGATATGCCTAAGATGACATCAATGCATTTCTACTTCACAACACCTTAGTTGAGATTGATAGTTTGGTGACTTTCTTACAAACCACTGGTACACCATTGGGAACTGAAAATCAACCCCTCTCTTGTATGACTTTCGTTTAGAGGTTTGATTGACCTTGTCCATCGGTTAATTTATGCATAGAAGGTTGTGGTCAAGTATTCCGTCTTGTTCTTTTGTACATTTTCAATCTTAAATTGATCCCATATTTATAAATTGCCATCTGAGCGTTAATTACTCTTTTGACATATCGATAGCCTCGGTAGAAGGTTTAACCCTGGTCATGTTTATATCATTCAGGTGTCGATTTTCTTATCTAGAATACCATCTGTAGCTCACATACACGTTGCTATTTCTTACAGAAACAGGCAGAGCAATTTATAGTCCGGTAAAACACTATTTATAACATTCAGATATTCATTTTCTTGCCTAGAATACCATCTATAGCTCACATACACGTTGCTATTTAGTACAGAATAAAGCAAAACAATTTATGGTCCGGTAAAACTATGTTTTAGGTGGACACGGGATGACGCTGTGGAGTACATGATGAATTTTACTGGTCTTCCCAGTGAAACAATCCAACGTGACGTCAGCCGATTTATCGCGTGGCCAGGTCACGCATGCGCTTATAAAATTGGCGAACTGAAAATCAAAGAGCTCCGCATTATGTCCGAAAGGAGATTGGGTGAGAACATTTTGCATTGTTTATGTTTTAATTCTTATTTCGAATTTCTAAAGTACGTTTAGATATATCCTACTTTGTCTTATTCGTAATATCCTCCAGTATTGGCGATCATTCCACTAAAAATTCCACTTACTTTGCCATTCAAACCTGGATTCATTTGGCAATATGAGGTACAATTACCATTTAAAATGAATATGTCTTGGATTGTTTTTTCGATTTTCTGGTTACACGTCCGAAGCAACCCGTCAAAATATTCTATTGAAAAAAACAACAATTACACAATTTGTTTTTGTAGGAAAGCTGTTTGACGTGAAAGAATTCCATGACGTCGTACTGAGAATTGGCCCGGTGTCGCTGCGAGTCTTGGAGGATGTAGTGGACGAGTGGATCTCTGAGACTCTGTTGTTAGCTTCTAGTGTTCCTGCTATCATCTCATCTGTATCAAATCCTGTAGCTCTGAGCTTTCTTGTCATTTCACTCAACAAGATCATAGTTCGCTAGGCAAATCGTGTTCCTATCACTTCGTTTAGTCAAACTGTCAGTACTGATAGATGGTGATCATGGCCTCTTGTCAACTCCCTCCAATGGACCATAGTGAAATAATTGCATAATGGACTTGGCAAGGAACCTCAACAAAACAAGAAAAGTCAAAATCTCAGTTCTGAGATACACTAACCCCTCATTTCAATGAATATTGTAATCTTCGTATATCTGAACCATGTCGCTATGTAAATGAGCAGAAAAACGTGGCATACATGTTACGGCATATATTTCCCCTCTATATAGCTATAATTGATAGCTTGATTTTATATAAATGATAAATAATATATTTGATTTATGTGATGTAGTATTTTACAGAACGGCAACCTAGCATCGCAAATGACATGTTCCATAATGAAAGTACATACACACACGTTTTTTTAAGGATTACGGGAAATTGCATCTGTCGTAAAGATATTTTGCATATGTCTCTTCTATTTAGACTGCAATGCTCTCGTGATCCACACCTTCTAAAATGTATAGTATTATTAATTTGAAGGGATCTCGGATTTTTGTACTGGTGGAAAAATTACATCAATTTGGAATTATACAAGATTCAAATCTTAATGACGCGGAATGCAGTTACCTTTATATTCAGCAATTGATGACGACTGTGGTGACTATTGGGGGTATCGTCTTCCGACGATGCTTCATCCATGATAGCTGTCCATAAACAAGATGGTTGTCCAGCCAATTTGGAAGTAGCACCCTGGGTAGATTCTAGATGGTTACCTGATTTGAGATGTTGTCTTGAAATGGCGGTCCTTCTCATGATTCTGAGATGATGATCTGGACCAGTCTCTACTAGAGTTGTCGTTCTTATACACTAGCAATGCACGAAAACAGCTCACGGACTACCTATAGTTGACCGTGAGTCGTATCACCTCTGTACACAGCAGATGCTTTATAGAAAATATCACATTTATCAAACAAATCTATAACTAAAATATGATGTTCTGTGACAATGAAGACTTTTTAATCGATTTCACAAAAGTCTAAATTTCAGTGCATTTTACAACCACAATAGCAGAGCTATTATCACTGGCTTTAGAGGGTCAATTCCAACATCGCGTTCCCAGTGATTTTGAAGTCATGAAAAACAGCATCTACCATGTAGTTTATTGCGTCTGAACTGCAGTAAGACTTGAGTTAATCCATTAACCGAATTCTGAGAGACAGATACACGTTGTCATCACTCATGGTAACCAGGTGTGTCCTCGGGGTCAGTAAGTGTATCCTCTTGATCGTCATATATGCCTAAAGAACGATAAGGGATCGATTGTACCCAGACAATGATAACGGCAAATATCAATTTGTTTTGGTCTGATATGTTATATACCGTACTATTACGGAGGCTACAACATATATCTACATATAACCATGAGTGTATGGGTCATATGAAATAGTCACTGCCTAAATGCGCGCAATGTGATAAAAATGCACATTCTAAACGACGAATTGATGAATTCACAGAAGCGTATTTTTTGTTGTGTTTTTTCATGCTTGATGTCATCAATTTTATCCTTCTGGACACTATAGCATCATCCTCATTATCATCACAAGGTTGGTCCAGTGGCGCACTGGTTACACACTATGTTCCATTTTGATTGTCTGAATGGATATGTATATCAAGTGTGAGTAGTATTACTTAAATTGCTATTAAGATATGACCCCGTGCACTGTCCAACCTTTTATCACTCGTATGATAAGGTTCCTTGTCGATTGCATGCGAGAATGTACTAATATCGACAAAGTGCCATTTGAACAGGCTAATTCCATTCTGAGCAAGGACACAACCCACCATCCGCCCTTTGGTGTGTTACTTATGTTTGCTTCTTGAAGTCGCCTGGCAGGGTATAGACTTATTTGCATACAAGGTGCTTGTAGTGAAAACTGTGGGAGTTATCGCCCTTAGTTTTAACTGGCGTGACAAGGCAGCGCACTCTTGACTTTTAAAGTAGACGGACTTAACACCAAAACTGCTGCTCGTGCACGTGGTCGCCATTTTGGCAGCTCGTGGGAACACGTGTACATCACAACGTGGTATTTTAGGGTTTTATTATTTATTTGTATTTAGATTTTTTTTCAGTAAACAAAAGTTATGCGTGGCTTTACTACCAGAAAGTCTAGGTACAGTGCTGAGATTAGTATTGGTGTTTTGTTTCGTCTTGGAGAAAGATTCGATAGTACTGAAATGGTATTTTGACAAAACATTTAAGCTCATCATATCAATGAATGAATCAAATTAATCCCGTCAAGTGTATGTCTCGTCGTTTCGACAAGGCTATTTTTAGGTTTTTATTTGTCAATCTGTTATACCATTAGAAGGTCGGCAACTCGCGTTTGTTACATTTATCCTGGTACGGTTTGTTAATCTTATAAATGGTGGGAGATAAATGAATCCCAAATATAAAGTATGTAAGATGTAAAATCATAATAAAATGTATTTCTTCATGATGTTGTTTTATCTTAATACACATTCTCCAAAAGATATCTACATTTTTTATCTACCTTCTTTAGATCACATGTATTCGCCGATATTGTTTTATATAAAACGACTCGTAAGTGACCCCATATCTTTGTTAAAGTTTCATAATTCCATATGCTGATTCTATGTTGTCACAGTTTTGTTATTAACTGGCAGGTAATTAAAACTGTAATATAATATGAAAGGCAATAACATATTATTGCGAGACATGCGTTCGGTCTACCTTTTTCAGTGATATTTTCTTCTATATTCCTATACTTTAATGTCTAGTATTCTGTGCTCCGTGTTTGTGTTCAGTATAATTAATTTCATGGTCTGAAGAGATTAGGGTATCATAGTAGACGTCTTCGCGTTTAAGAACAAAAGTATTTATCAAATCAAATCCAATTGCAGATATGGTACATTTAGTGTCCTCGGCGTTTGATGATGTTAGGATGGTACTAAGAGCTTTCCTTGATATCTAGCTGTCTTATCAGCCTTTCGTTATTTAAAAGTTAGTAGGCGCTCCTAAAAACTGCAACTTTTTCCTGAAGAGAGTTCCTGCTAAAAAGTATAATTAATTTGGGTAGCCCAGTCCAACATTACACATATACCTCAATATTGTGTCCCTTTAGGTCTAAACGACATGGCCTCGGACTAAAACCCTTTATATTGATCACTACTCCGTTCGACATCAGTATCAGCTCTGTACACTGCAGACATTTTTTACAGACAATATCACATTTATCAAACAAAACTCAGAATCTGTAACTAAAAGATGATCAGCCATGATGTTCTGTGACGATGAAGACTTTTCACCGATTTCACAAAAACCTGAATTTCAAATAAACACGCGCTCAGTGCATTTGACAACCACAATAGCAGAGCTAATATCACTGGTCTTAGAGGGTCAATTCCAACATCGCATCCCCAGCGATTTTCAGGTCATGAGAAAACAGCATCTACCATGTAGTTTATTGTGTCTTAACTGCAGTAAGACTTAAGTTAATCCATTAAAACCGATTTCTGAGAGACAGATACACGTTGTCCTCACTCATGGTCATCAGGTGTGTCCACGTGATCGTCAGATATTCCTAAAAAACGATAAGGGATCAATTGTACCCAGACAATGCTAACGGCAAATATCAATTTGTTTTGTTCCGATATGATATGTACCGTACTATTACGGAGGCTACAACATATATCCAAATATAACCATGAGTGTACGGGTCATATGAAATAGTCACTGCCTAAATGCGACCAATGTGATAAAAAAATGCACATTTTAAACGACGAATTGATGAATTCACTGAAGCGTGTTTTGTTTTTTATTATTTTGTTTGTTTTTTTGTTGATTTTGGTTTTGGTTTTTTTTTCAATCTTATTTAAAATTGTGCAAGATTTGAACAAGACACACGGCGACATATCCACATATAGCAATGTTTGACGTCATCAACTTCTTTTCCTTCTGGACACCGTTGCATCATCCTCATTATCATCACAAGGTTGGTCTAGTGGCGCACTGGTTGCACACTATCTTCCACTTCGATTGTCTGAATGAATACGTATATCAAGTGTGAGTAGTATTAATTAAATTGCTTATTAAGGTATGATTCCGCAAACTATCCAACCTTTCATCACTTGTATTGTGATAAGTTTCCTTGCCAATTGGAAGCGAGACTGTACCAATTTCGACAAAGTGCAATTTGAAGCAGGTAAAGGCAATGCGAAGCATGGAAATGCCCACCATCCACCCTTTGGCGTATTAGCTATATTTGCTTCTTGAAGTCGCGTAGCAGGTTGTAGACTGATTTGCATACAAGGTGCTTGTAGTGAAAATTGTGAGAGTTATCACCCTTGGTTTAAATTGACATGACACGACAGCGCTCTCTTGACGTTTGACTTTTAAAGTAAACGGACTTGTCTCCAAAAGCACGGTATCACTTATAAGTTAGGAGCTGGGAGCAACCCTAGAGGGTCCAGTATGTAAACCGAACACCACCATTCTCTACGTTTGGTGTATTTTTATATTTCCTTTCTTTTTTTCCGGTCATCAGTGTGTTGTGCTCGTGCACGTGGTCGCTATTTTGGCAGCTCGTGGGAACACGTGTACAACATGAGGTGCTAGTTTAGGGTTTTATTATTTATTTTTGTTACATTTTTTTACAATAAACAAAAGCTATACATGTCTGAACTACCCAAACGTTTAGGTAGAGTGCTGGGTTTAGTATTGATTTTTTGTGTAGTCTTGGAGAAAGATTCGATAGTATTGAAATGGTATTTTGACAAAATGTTTAAGTTCATCTTACCAATGAATGAATCAAATCGATCCCGTCAAGTGTATGTCTCGTCGTTTCGAAAAGTTTTTTTTAGGTGTTGTTTCCTAAGATTTGTCGATCTATTTTACCATTTGAAGGTAGGTAACTCGTGTTTGTTAATTTATCCTGGTACGGTTTGTTAATCTAATAAATGGTGGGAGATAAATGTATCCCAA